TTTTATAAAATAAAACTATCAAAATTTGAAAAAGAGACTGTGGAATATCCTTTGACTAGGAAAGAGAGGGGCGCCTAAATCCGAGCTACAATATGTAACCGTTTGGCACCAGATTTTAAACGTAAACAAAATACATATTTCTCTGCCTAAACTGATACAGTGGCGTAACCAAAAATTAATTAAACAATATATCTCGGTTTCAATGCCCAAACATTTTTTTTAATGCATTTTTATAATATAGGTTTTCTGAATGAAAATATCAACCGTTTCGCTCAAATTCTTATAAATTATTCTTTAGATTATATTATGATCCATCTTAGTATGATTAATTTGAAATATTATATACAGGGTGTCCCATTAAATTATGATAGTTTTATAGGGGTTCAGCATCATTCTTTAAGTTCACAAAAAAATTAGCAGCCTGTATACATATCAGGTCTACAAGCCTAAAGGCACTTGGCTTAAAGTTTCTTTCTAATCTTCCTCCACTAGTCTTTGTTAACTACTAGGACTGTCCAGTTTTCACTCAATTTTTTAAGTCCTCTTTAACTGCATCTAGCCATTTTTTTCCGGTCCACTACTTCTTTTCTGCACTCTGTACAGATCCTTGGGTGATTGGATTCTATACCTATTGTTGGATTAACCTGGGGTTGTCCAAAAAGTGCCTGTCTTGCGATCTAGAGCTTCGCATTTGGACAGGTTGTGTTTGGCCGTTTCTGGTTTCTTGTGACATAGTCGGCACATGAGTTCCCCATTGTCACGCCAATTTTGTTCAAGTGTCCCTTTACTGGGGCGTGCCCATTATTTATTTACTTACCATCCTGTATACGTGCCCTGCTCTATGCTTTTTTACAACATGTGTGTTACTTGGATTCTTATACATGTTTGCCCATTCTTCGTTTGTTCTTTTTGTCAACTAGTTTCTGAAAATTCTCGGGATTCTTCTTTCCCATATATTTAATTTCTTGTGCTCATTCACTCATTTAATATTATGCAATTCTTCAAGCAATTTTAAATAATATTTTCAGTTTTATTTACTTGTCTAATATATTTTACCTGAGAAATGTAATTCCTTCTTACTTTTTCACTTCAGCTTTTACAGTCATAAGCTGAATATACTACCATTGTAATCAATAATAGCACTGTTTTTAATACGTAAATGAACACGGTTTTTTGACACCAAAAAAATGGCGACCGATTTTTGGCTCCAATTCTCTGCGTCATTTTAAAATACGTGTTACGAGTCCTCTCTCTCTTTCCTAAAGAGAAACACAGGTTGGAGTTATATTGGGAAATAACATAAGAGTTAAACAAAGATATAGGTTAGATCGTGATGGGGTATTCTCTGAAGCAAGCCACTGCCGCCATGTTTGATTTTCTGAGTGTTTACCAACCAAACAACCTCCAAATAGAAGCAATTTGTAACCCCCCTCGAGCCTTATCGTTAGTAATAAATAAACTAAAATTTATCAATACAATAGTAAATGTTTGCATGAGATGTGTTTGTACCAAAATAGATTGAAAATTTAAATTGACGCTATATACATGTGTTAAATGGACAATTTTTTCCCGTTGTTGTAATATTTAATATGACTTATTTAGAGAAATTGTTTTTATTTTTGTTTTTTTAAATCTTATATACGGATTTTTCTAAGATATATATTTGTATTTCCATATCAACAAGTTAAATAAGTCGCAGAAGCCTGAATATATTCCAAGAAATGACACAATTAGTCAAACTGCCATCATTCCACCGTTTTATGATTATAATTTCTTTAGGGATATTTTAATAAATTGATAACTTAGAAAAATCTGAAGCATCGACTCGAATCATTGTCTTACGAGCTTATAATTTGACCAGCATACTTTTTTTTAATAAAAATCCTAATTTCTTTGTTTTGTTGATTGCAATTGACAATTTAACGTTTATAGAAATGTATACCAAAAACAGAAATTATAGTTATTAAGAACTCTTGTTTTTTTTTTGTTTGCTTATTCTCGATTGAGCTGGGAATTAGTTTATTTTTTATTAAAAATTACTTTTGTCTTAGATACTTTTAAAAAGTATCTAATATTTACATTTATCATCTCAGCTGCATATATTGAACGTTTGTGCCTGTTTTGCAGAGAAAATAAAACTTTTTTATTCGCATTTTTTAAAAATAATAATAACAACTTTTAACGCAATAAATATTTAGATACTTTTTTAAAATATCTTTTCCAGCTGTTTCTTTGAATGATTTTATTATAATTCTGTACATATACTTAATAAAGTTTTCTCATACTGTTTACATACACATTGTTTATTGTTCTTTCCTATTCCAATACAAAATTAGCACAGCACACCTGTTTGTACCTACCTACAGCTGGTTATAATTACTCCATATTTGATGCAGAGCTATCCTTCTAAAGTGAGTTTTTAGACGACTATCCTATCATCAAATCCATAAGAATTAAATTACTATTTCTTAGGCACACCACACAGTGTTAACTGCTATAGTTAGAACAAAATATATATATATATATTTTTTAAATAAATAACGAAAAAAATAGCTTTTATCTTAATTTATATTTTCTGTTAATGATAAATGACAAATTTTGTAACAATTTTACATCAATTCTATGACATTTCCTTTATTTACAATGGTCGCCATTAAAAACATTTTTTAACATTCATTTTACATTTTTTGCATTTAACAAAGGACCCCGCACTTTCCTTATGTATGGGGGACGAACTGTCAAATTTTCTGAAGCTTTGATATGTTGTACTCAATCTAGTAACAAAAAGTGGGCCCAACTCAATCCTATGACTAGTTTTCAATCTAGTTAAAGTTGAAAATTGCCCAGCTTTTCCAACTTACGAGCTAGATTGAATTTCTGTTGCATACACACGTTTAATACATGTTTTGGTAATATATTATTACATACGTACAATAAAAAATACTTTTAATTACAGGGTGATTCGAAAATAAACTTGGCACTGAACTGGGCGGCGCCGATAAATACGTGCGAACGATGGGAAAAAAGCTTTATATTTAGTAGTATTTCTCCACTACAATAAAGGGTCATCAAATGAGTCGATTTTCTTTATTATATTCACTAATTAGCTCACGCGTTTTTGTACCGATTGAAGTAAATACATCTCCGTTATAACTCCGCAAATATTTGACGGAAGCGGAGGCGAAGGTACGATTTCTTGCGGAACTTCCGCAGTAACGGAGGCGAAGGCGAAGTTCCGTTACAACCCTACCCAATATGGTGTTTTGTTCACAAAATATTGCACAGTATATATTTCTTATACTGTGAGAATCACAACCTAAAATTATTTTTTAAGAATTAATTCAAAACCCTTTATATCGAAAACTAGTCACAGGGTTGAATTGAGCCTTTTGACACTTTTGGTTATTAGGTTAAGAACGATAACATTTCAAAGTTACAGAAAATTTGACTGGTCGCCATTTTACATAATGAAAGTGTGAGGTTCTTACTGAAACAAAACGCAGGTACAAGATTACAATATATACTATTATTATTATATAATGACATTACAAAACAAATAAAATGACAGCGAAAAAAAATAGGTACACTTTAAAATATCACATTTTTGTCTTGATATTAAAAAATTACTTTTGTCTACTAGGCTGCAGCTAGCAGAATTTCCGGAAAGTGAAATTGGTAGTGGGACCATAAGCCAATAAAGTTATGCTTAGCTTAAATTGTAATTACAATTAAAAAAAAACATACCAGATGATTTTTTCTGGATTGATTAGGGTCATACTCTATAGCCTGTGATTTTCATTTATTTGGGCTTTTAAAAGAAGCTCTAGGAGGACAGCGATTTAAAGATGACCAGGACATGGAGGGATTCGTGCAAAATTGGCTCCTGACACATTCATTCTATCACACTGAGATAAAAAACTTTAATTCTCGTTGGAAAAATTTTATTTCTAAAGCAGGAAAGTATGTAGAAAAATAAAATATATTTGTGTTTAGTTTTATTAATGTTTTTTTTTTGTTTAAATCAAATATGTTTACATTAAAGTTAAAAATAAAAGGATCTAAATCAATAGGTAATCAATTTTATTTGTGTTATAATCCCTACAGTTAGATACATTAAATGATTAAATGTTCAAAAAAATGAATATAAGAAGGTAAATAGGAGCTCATCTTTAATAATTAAAATTCATAGTTGTTCATCCTATTTTATGAATTTTTAAAAAATATATTCTAATAAAAAATATATTTTAAAATATTTTTTGTACTTGTCTAATATTTCTCTTTAACATTCTATGAAAGTGTTTGCATCTAATTGGATTCTATTGGTAATGTTTTTAATTTCTACAAAACATTTTTAAAATTAATAAGAAAAATAAAAAGCAAACATAGAACCAGGCACATATTGACTGATTGAATCTCTGTAATAAGATTTCCAGATTTTACATTTTTTTATGAAATTATCTTGTGGTTGAAGGAAAAAATTTATATTTTTCACATAAAAAACAGGTAAAGTATGAAAAAAGGTCATCCAATAGCGAATTCAAATTTCAAGAAATTCTGTCAGCATGAAAATAAAAAAGTATGAGATATCCTTCAGATATCAATGACTATATAATTGAATCCAATAAAATATAATAACATATCTAAATAGATAGGAGCTGTTTTTGATATAGAACAATAAAAATTCAGTCTATATTTACAAAATTTCTAGATATTTCTATTGTACCTAACATAAAACGATTTACAGACAAACAAAATGATACACATACTTGTATAACTAACTTTTCTTCAAATATCTAAGCAAATTATCTAGAAACATTAATACGTACAGCCATTTTAAATAATATTTAGGTACACTTAAAATCAAAAATTTGCAATACAAACTAAAATAAATATATAAAAAAATATCACAATAGAAGACTATGGCACTAAAAAAAGAATATACTTCCAGACTAAAGGCAACAAACTGTAGGAATGTATTGTTACTTTTCCTCAAATTCAGAAATATAAATTTAATGTGATAGAAAATTAATACTAATTATTATTCTTTTAAAAAACTTTGACTAGACAAAAATATCACAATGGAAAACAAATTATAGTAAATATAAAAATAATACTAATTATTTTAATCTAAAAATTAGACAATGTTGTGCTTAGACTTCATATGCATTTTTAAATTGTATTTTCTGGAAAGTACTGCACTACAAATAGGACACTTTGTCCTACCTAAATGGACCGGTTTGTGATGATGCAGACTATATGGATGAGTAAAAACTTTAAAGCATATTGGGCAAGTCAAATTATCAATAGTGTGATTGTTAGAAAGAATACCTTGAACGTTATCTATTGGGTCTTCTTCTGATGTTTCTTCTTCTAAAAATAATTTTGGGGTTTAATTAATACTACTTCTGTTAAAAATTATTCTAGTTTTACATGACTTACTTTTAACTATAACTTCATGTGTGTCATAATCCGTTAAGTCTAAAACAAATATGCACTAGTTATATAAAATAAGCAGTTTCATAAATGGCTATTATTTGGTTGTCATTTTAAGAATTTCTTACTTAGATTTTTAGTAGATAAATAAACAGATAATGGGTATGCAACAATACAAGGTGTCCCACTAGAAAATAACACATTCTAACAGCCAATAACTTGAGTTGACATAGTTGACAAATGTATATTTTTTCCCTAAACTACCGGGAAAAAATTGCCAAATTATCAATTTACTTTAAATAGAACACCCTATATTTATTCATACCATCAGAAAGTCAGTTTCTTCCCCTTGTCAAATATGTATACATTGTCATTATTTATTACCTAAGGGTTTAGGGAAGATATTTTTATATTAATCTACATCAAAAACATGCAAGTAATTGTAAGATTGTTGGAATTATGTGTTACTTTATAGTGTGGCACCCTGTATTTTAATATTTCATATAAAATTAACTATTATAGACTAGTGGGCCTTGAATTTTTTTCCTAAAAGAAAGCAGTAGTCCAGAAAAAATTGGAAACCTTTAAATAGAAAGGGGCCACTACAGATAAAACTAAATTAAAATAGAAAGATGCTAGATAGGCTACAACTAGTTGGTGAAAGGCAATTCTGGATGGGTTTGTAAGCTCTAGAACCAAGACATTGTCCAGATCCTATGCCGAACTCAAGCAATATAAAACATGGTGTACAAAAAGTGTAAGGAAACTTTATTTACAAACCTTGTTCAAAATCTGACCCCATTTGAATGTCACAGATATCATTTGCGAAAATTGTACTCAATACTTTTGGGTCAAAATCTTCATCTTGGTCACTATCATTCTTCTCTTCCTTGATATCAGGACAACTTTTTCTTTTCCTGGGTTTAAGTCGCCCAGTTTGTCCAGTTGGGGAAGGACCATTACTTAATTCTGTCACACATTCATTAGGCTCATTTTTAGTACCTGTTAATCCACTTATTTGTAGAAATTCGGCAGTTTGTAAAAAATTATCAAAGTGTTTACTATCGACACTAACTTCTCCACTGTAGATAAATTTAAGAATGTCTCTTAAAACGCAGCATCTAACGCCCTTCAATACAACAATCGGATGCTCTTGCGGAAAATCATGGAAAAGATTATTAAAATAATTACTACATGCTGAAAGTAACATTTTATGTGCTCCAATTTTTTTACCCTCAACATACAAAGTAACATCTGTATAGTCGCTATTATTTAGTAAATTGACGAAAGCCTGTTTTATGTGGTTCATATGGTTGCTCCAATTTACCGCAAATTGCTTGGCTTGATCCATGGAATTCATTGGTAGAAATTAGCTTATCCTTTTAAATTCAAATTATTGTTTACAAAATATACAAATTTTTGTAAAGATTTTCTAATTGCTTCTTCTTTTTTTATAATGTCATGTATCTGCATATTAGGCATTCCAACGACCTGACAAAACGCTGACAAGTGGAACTGACAGTTTAAGATATGATATGACCTATCAGGTCTTTTCCTTTGCATTGGAAGTGTAGCACTGAGCTACGCCACTTCTGAAAATACCGTTCCATCCATACAATTTGTATAAATGGAACGATATTTTCAGAAGTGGTGTAGCTCAGTGCTACACTTTCAATGCAAAGGAAAAGACCTATTACGGTCATCGTCATGCGCAGTAAATAAAAACCGTTCGACTTTGGGCTTTATTGATAGATTTTTCAAAAATAATGACAAATTTACCGATTTAACCTTTTCAGATTTGTGGTGAAATTACAATATCTATTCTTTATTTTAAAACATTGTTCTTTAGAAATATATTGAAAGACGCATATTTTGATTTTCAACTATTCTACTGGATTTCGGACAGTTTGCAGAACATTTTAAAGAAATCGAAAGATAAAAAAACCAAATGAACATGATTTTGCCTTCCATATTCATTTATGTTGTACGTTTATTTATTCAAACAACACTAATAAAATTTATCTTTTTTACTGATATTATTTTTTCATTAATGTATTCGGCCTGACAACTTATAGGCCATTAGATTTGTGATGATTAGAGTACTAATATCTACTGTAATCTCCATAGTTGGCATCAAATGGAGGCCGTAAAAGGCCCAAATAAGGCAGAGAGGAACTTAAGGGATTAGAGCAAGACTGGTTGAAAATGGCTTGCATGACAATATAGATATCATTTTCTACTCATCGTGAAAATCTGAACAATATTTATATAATTACAATCTGCAGACACTATATAGTGCTTTTTACTTCAAAATCTTTTTTTTGCGCAAAGATAATCTTTGGTTTTAGAGTAAAGAACGTTGTGGAGACCAATTGCACTGAACATTTAGAAGTACTAAGATATTTTGATAGTACCCACTTTACCTGGGCATCAGTATGTATTTTTGAAGCATGTAGCTTATTCATAAGGAGTAATAAATAAAACTATTTTGTATTTTTTAATGTTTTATTGCAAAGAACAAAAATATAAACACATTTTTTTTAATTGCTAATCAAAATCTTGAAAGAAACAGGCAGGTATCTACAAAATATAACAATGTATTTCTTCCAAAGATGTAAAGGGTGACCATATAAGAGGGTGTCTTATTAGCGACACAGATTTAAAAAAGGACTTTAAAAGCAGCCCTCATTTGAAGCTTCTTAACTTAAAATAAAGTCAATTTATTTATTTTTTTTATTTTGATAGCTCTGGTTTGGATCGACTGAACTTAACAAATTCAATATACTTAAAAAACGCTCTTTTATAAGCTTCACAGTGACAGGTAAAGGATAGTGTTTAACAACCTCTTACTTGAACACCAAGTAATTTTAACTAACAATACCATTATAAATTTGACTTGCACGTAACAAATATATCACTTTCATCATCTGTTGTTTCATAAGCTTGCATTTTATTATCACTACTATTATGTTTTGAAAGATTATTCGATTTCTTATCACAACTTTTTTCATTAGTTGCTTCATGCTCAGGGCTAGAATTTATTTCTACCGTTTCAGACTCCATAAATGTTGTAAAATCATTTGAGTTACTTTTTGTAACATTTGTATTATCCAAATGTGTTGTTTGCTTATCAACTTTTTCTTCAATCATTGTTATTGTAGAATTTAGAGCAAATACTAGAGAATCATCACTACTTTGTAAACTTTCATTATTAACATCTCTGGATATCTGCTAAATAAATATAAACAAAACTGTATTAGTGAAAAAAATATACCCTTAGTTTGCTTGATCTACAAACAACAAATTATATTTTTATATTACCGTATTTTTCGGACTATAAGACACACACACAAATTTATAAGACAATTTATAGAAAAATATTTTTTAATGTTACTTTCAGATCATAATTTTTATTTATTAATATAACTCATACTACCAATATTCAGTTCAATCTTCACTCTTGGTACTCACTCATTTTGTTAATGTCACCATTCCTATTACTTTCATCTCAACAATCTTTTGTCACTTCATTCAAAACAATGTCATCTATTAATGTTACCTTCAGACCATAAGACGCACCCAAAATTTGAGTCCATTTTTAAATGTAAAAAGGTGAGTCTTATAATCCGAAAAATACGGTACCTATAATAGAATCATACTTTATTATTTGCATCTAAATTCTTCTCTTGTTTGTCAGTATCATCAATTATAATTTCATCATCTGAAGAAGTGTTTTTATCATCTTCTGCAGAAGAACTTTCTACATCAATTTCTTCCGAAGACGACGAATTTTTGTTCCTCTTATTCTTCGCAATTGCTTTTTGGCTATTTTTGAAAACTGTTGATGTTTGATGCCAGGCTAGCTCAATCTTACGTTTTTCAATATCTGGTATAGTATATTTAGGATTGGAAATGTTGGGAAGTATGGTCTTCTCAAAACGGTTCTGAAGACTCATCCATGTTCTATCGAGATAACCAACTGAACTCAGATCCTTCCAAAGAGATCTGCCTCTTACAGAATAGTACAACTGAAATTCTGTAATTCATTCTAATTTTAATTATTGTTTTAACAATTTGACGTACAGAAAATTAAGCAGCTATAAACATATAATGCACTAATGAAAGTGAATTCCAAAATGCTCCCTAGCTAAAGCTACTCTTAGTTTAAACTTTTAATAACTAGATACATAAAATGTACAACTTACTTATTATCGATTTAAGAATTTGCATGTCTTCGTCTACTGTGTAACTTGGACGGTAACCTGCCATTTTTCGCAAAAAGAATATCAATAAAAACACAACAAATTAACTCTACAAACTCGCAAATCGCAAACACCGGAGCACCGCATAGAGGAAGAAATGGAAATAGAAAAATAAATTCAACCGCCAACGCAACTGCGCAAATGCAAATATTAACTTCTTCTTTTCTTTTTTCTTCTGTCTAGAAGACCCGCCACTTCCTCTTGAGAATTGAGATAGTAATTGATTTGCTACTGTGAAGTTATGGTAAAGTTCTGTGTTCTGTAGTTAACAGCCGTTTACTGTTGTGATTACCACCCAAGTAGGTCTTTTCCTTTGCATCGAAAGTGTATCGCTGAGCTACGTCACTTCTGAAAATATCGTTCTATCCATACAATTTGTATAAACGGAACGATATTTTCAGAAGTGGTGTAGCTCAGTGCTACACTTTCGATGCAAAGGAAAAGACCTAGAGGTTTACCTCCATGTTACCACCACAGAACATTTACTCTATTACCACTGCTGCTGTGCGAAGTCGATACGTTTCGTATCGATTAGAGAGAGACATTACATAAGAATCGCAGTCTGTCGAACGAAGATAAGCATCTCAATACGTTTGCCGAATCGAAAGATGGGAATCTCACTGCAGGCCTGTTCTGGCTCTTCAGAAATAATGAAAACTGTCCCGAGTACTAGAGGACCAGTAGAAACTTGTAAAAGTTTTACGCGACGAATAATTTGAAATTTAATTGTTTCACTGGTTCTCGGAAGGTTTGCACAAGGATACTTGAAAGTATTCTTGGGTTTGTAGTACATTTCGAAGAAACCAGCACAAGCATGAAAGTTAAAAGCAGTTCACTACAACTACCTGAACAAGTTCTTAAATTATCGGGTCACAAGTGTTAAGAGAATTGAAAATGCCGAACACAATTTTTTCATGTCTTCTCAAATGACATTGACAAGTGACAAAGACAAATTTCATTTCAAAAATTTCTGTCGTGTATTGTTATTGTTGCTGCCTGCATAAATTGTTTAAAAATAATATTTATGTAATATTTATTTCAATAAACAATAAAATGAATTTATGCAAGGTACCAGCCCCTGTAGATGAAGGAGAAGGCGATCATAGGTGGATAAGTATTGTATGAAAATTAATTTTTATTTGAACAGTTTGTGTAGAGTAGTGTTTTAGCACAACAGATTTATCGCTGAAAGTAAAGAAAAAGATGCCGATGTTATTTTCATAGGAGATTCTATAATACAAGCTTTACAACATACAGACGTATGGAATGAATTATTTGTACCCTTACACTGCTTAAATTTCGGAATTCATAGGGATAAGATTGAAAATGTATTATGGCGAATTCAGAATGGGGAATTGGATCATGTCAAACCTAAAGTAATTTTTTTTATACTTCTAATTATATTATAATTTTTTTATAAAAGATGAACATAGAAATAATGCACTAAAACCAAAAATCTTTCTAAATTAGGCAAAGATGATTATGATTGGACCCTGGAAGATTAAAATTAAATTATATCCTTTTTAGGTCATAGTTCTTCATGTAGGTACAAATAACCATTCAAGTACCCCTGAGGAAATCAGAGATGGTATTGTAGAATTAATAGAATTAATTAGAGAAAAGCACCCCAATGTATATATTGTTGTTCCAGTAAGTTTAGATTCATGAATGTTTTATTACATTTATTCAAGAGTTAAGTTAAAATCACTTTTACAGACTCTACTGCCAAGAGGACAAAATCCAAATCCGGTTAGAGAAAAGCTGTTGAAAGTTAATGATTTTCTCATGGCTATTGCAGAAGGTAGAACCAAAGTGGAAATAGTCAAAATTGATAATGGATTTGTAAGAGCTGATGGTACAATTAGTCACCATGATATGTATGATTATCTATTACTAACAAATTCTGGTTGCAAAAAAGCCTTTGAACCGGTCTATGATCTTTTAATGCAACTTTTAACTGAAGGTGAAACTGAAAAAGATTTAACACCTTCAGAGTAAATAATGTCAATTTTTTGACAAATAACTGCCCATAAAATAGGTTTTTTTCTTAACTACAAAATATTCAATTTTCAAAGCATTAGGTATCACATAAAAAACTATTTACTGATGAATACTATTCCCAAAATGATTAAAAACAAAAATCTCATAATTAAACAGACATATACAACCATAAAAATTCAGTTTATCAAGAAAGTTAAATTAAGTATTAAATAATTTTAATTTGTTCACATAAAACATTAATTTTGCTAAAACTATGATCTTTGTTTTACAAGTGAAACAAAAATAGTGTGCTTAAATGAAATTTTTCTTATGTTGTTTGACATAATTTTTTTAAATTGTATTAATAAAAATAAGTCAAAAACTAAACAAATAAACTTACACAGACTCAATCAATTAGTTGACACATAAAGCTTAGTATTAGAATCTTCTGATGACAACATACTACTTAAATAATCAGTCACACCCTATGGAATCCTTTTAAAATTAAAATACATTCTTGTGTGAAGTCAAAACTTCAGAATTTGGTTTATAAGGTTTAAATTTCGTGTTTAAAGTTTTTATGGACAAAATTAAAAAATTACAATGTGGTCCTTATGCCTTAGTAAATAATCACACACTTTTCTACTCATAATATCTGCAGCGTACAGAATAGTTGTTGCTAATTCTGATGCACACCATAAGAACCACGTTAATGATGCATTGTTAAAATTTAAAAATCCATGTAAATGCAAAAAAATTCACCTGTTTTTTTGTGAAGCCTAATAAAATGCGCTACATAAAAACCCTATTTTATGGACGACCAGAAGAAATGTTCAGGTCAATGCAATGCCTTGTATTTTTTCCGTTCAGTGATATTATTTTTCAATGCAAAGTTAATAACCAAATTTTACACAACACTAGTGAATTCGACTCATCAAAAGTCTGTACAGTGGATCTTTTTTTTTTTGGATATGTGATACATAAGACTTAAAAGCTATTTATCTATTTTTTTTTTTTTAATTCAGCTGAGTTACTTACATTCCTTTAATTTATTTTTTATTGTTAAGTAATTATTGTAGTCTATTCGAGTTAGTTTTGATGTAGTACTTAAGGTTAGAGGTGGTTCCCTTTTAAGTGTTAAATACTTTGTATATTTAGTTATTTATTTCTTTATTCTCATGATTGTAAATTGTAATTGGAAAATTTAAAGAAGGTATTTTTTCAAGCTCCTTTTACAAAGATGCTCCACTTATTTTGGGACACCACGTAGGTTTCATATTATTATAAATGTTGGGTTTATAGAGTGAGATTATTTTACCAATTATTTTCTGATCAGTACATTTTCAAGTGTGCCCTCTACAAGAAAATACATTTTGTACCCTAACAGATGGGCAAATCTGTAGAGGTACCTATTGTTTTTTTTTCAAGGCGCAATTTTTGGCTAGTCTTTCTATTCTTTTGTATAATTATATAAATTTTTTTAAAGCGTTGCGAAATGTATTCAAATGTTATCGAAATGAGGCTTTTTGGCTTACATATTTCAGACAACTGCTCACTGTATGTCAACTAATAAAATTTGTAATTTTGTGGTTTTTGTTTCATTACAGTGTTACCAAATATATATATATACCATTCAAATATATTATTGCTATTTTGTAAACTGTTTATAGTGACACAAGCCCAATCTGATGAAGTTTTGTAAACCAAAATATCAGGGCTGGTTTCTGAGATATTCAATAAAAACAAAACAAATTTGTTCCATTTCTTTATTCCACGTAGGTTTATTTTCAAAAATAGACAAAACGCATTTAAGGTTTTTTGTTTTGTATCAAATTGTGCATATCACTACCTTGGAAGAACACCGGCACAACTCAAAGAGTACAAATTTCGAGATAAGACGTTTCAAAATTGAAATATCTACTTTAAAAATGTACATATCGATAGTTAATTTTAGCACATGGCATTTCTTTAATTAACATACAACCAACCCTTAAGGGCTTGGACTTGTGACACTGTTGATTAACCGACTTCAAAAAAGGAGTAGGTTCTCAATTCATCGTTATATATATTTTTTGTTTTATGTATGTTCAGCGATAATTCTTTAACGATTTCAATGATTCTTTTTGTGTTAGAAAGGGAGTACTTCAGTGGTGGTCCCATATAAATTTGATTAAAATCTAATAATTGGGTTCATGAGAAAATCCTCAAACTCTTCAATTTTTATGTATATTTATCGATAATTCTGTACCACCTTGTCCTATTTCTATAATTCTTTTTTTGTTAGTAAGGGGGTACCTCAGGGGTGGTCCCATATAAATTTGGTTAAGATGTGGTGATGGCATCTGTAGGATTTTGAAGTCAGTTTTTTAAAATTACTTTTAATACTTGTGTCACTATAGTAATAGAATCAACTAAAGAGAAAGGATTGTATCTATGTTTAAAAGGGTTTATGATCGTCCTGCATTTTCAAAATATATAAAGTATACGCTATTATATGTACAACTTGAAAATTAACTGTAGTGGAATAAAAAAAATGGATTCAATTTATTTTTTATGTAATATCTCGAAAACTGGCCGTTTTTTCAAAATTTTCTCAAATATACCGGGTGTTCAACTAAAAAAGGAACCAATTTATCGTAGATATCTGAAGATTTTTGTTTGCTTTAACAAAAGTGGTTCCTAGAAATCGCCGTGGGTATATTAATGCTTCTGATCAATTAAAAAAAAACGTCAAATAAAGTTGTATCGAAAATATCAAAATCATGTGTAAAATTTGTACTCAATTTTGACGACCCACTCATTCATCTGTTTATTATTGGTCATTTGTATTAAGCCTATCTAGCGGTGAAGTTACAAACTCGAAAAGCATTCAGCATCAACCAGCCATGCTCTTTAAGAATGCACAAATAGGGTATAATAAAAACCAGATATCTGAAATAACATTTAATAACTTCACACATACTATATGTATATATTATAAATAGCATTTTTAAGAGGTATTTAGTGCAAACATTGCTAATACCATTATATAATCAACAAAAGTACATTTGTACAACTCGATAAAGCCACAGTTATATAAAATAGAATATTTTTATATTTCCAAACACTGCAATAGCTTTTTGCATATATAGGTATATATGTAGTTTTCTTTTAAGAAATGAGCTTTTTTACAGAGGTTATAATAGGTATAGGTACAGATGTTTAAAGGTAACTTGCATTTTATAAAAACTGATGAAAATTCGAGTTTATATATGAAAACCAGTTACTCAATCATTTAACAATATTGTAAAATATCTCTAGTTAAATTCTGAGTTTTTTGTATGAAAGCACAATGCTCCACTTACTAGCGTTTATACAAAGAGATTTCTAACATACATAGAATAAAAATATATCTGCTCAAAAATTAAGGAAAGATGTTTAAGGAACTAAGGTCACACAATTGGAAGTTGAATTTTCTGCAAAGTTTTATAATGAATATTAACTTAATTTCATTGTAAATCATTTTTAGTAGTAAATTCAGAGAGTGAAATATATTGTTGTTTTCCAAGAATAATGAAAAAAAAATTAATATCAAGTGTACTAGTTTTAATCATCAACATTGATGTATAAATATTACAAATTTAACTGTAATATCAAATATCAGACTAGCTATAAAATTGATTACAGAATACCTTATAGGGTAGAATTTGTTAAAACTTAAAAAAGTAATCTCAATTGCAATAGTATGACTACAATAACATTTCAATCCTTGGATTATTCCATAAATGTTTAGGTTCTTACACCTTATTTTGTAAATTTTAGTTTTTGATATTATTGGGTTCTTTTTATTAATAAAACTACAGTTTTGTTAATTTGTAAAACTTTTGGCTCTTTAGCACCATTTTATTATTTCTTTTTTTATTAATATTAGGTATCATGGCATGTATCAACATTTTTATTCAGACATCAGGACAAAGAACATTTCCTTTGAATTTTTATTGAAGTAGTAAAAAATAAATTATGCTTTAAAAAACAACAAAAATGTAGTTGTATTTAAAAACACAGAATAACACCTACAACCCAAGAATATCAAACATTAAAAAATATTTCAAAACCATATCACATACCAATTGAAGGCAAATTACTTAATCAAAAAGTAGCTTCATATATTATAATTTTCATATTCAATTAACTGTAAAATTTTTATTAGCATCTATATTTACCTAAATATATAAATACTAAAATAATTGCAGGGGAATAACATACTTGTGAGCATATTTAAAAAAAGTACAAAAAATAAAAAAGGCACTGATTTAACATGTTGAATGTAATGACATTTTTTCATATACTTGGTTATTGTCATAAAAAATTGTAGAGCCAGTAATTTTATTCCCTTTTTATAAAGAAATTAAATAGATATTAAATATTTATTTTTAATTCTAAAGGGTCTTTTTAAAATAGAACCACATTATTGCAAATTAAGATAGTTATAAAATTAAAGCCATTAAATAAGTATTTATGGTTCAAATTATTTTATCAATATATCTAAATAAGTGTTATTTTGTTAAAATAAAAAACGTAGCAAAAGTTTTAAATTTTAAAGCAATTATTGTACTATTAAAAATGAACACAACATTATAAAAAACAATGAATTGTAGCCAGATGTGTCTCAAAGATTTTTTTTTATAAAAAAAAGTTTTGAGGGTTGAAGTAAACAGCCATAAATTTGTTTTTTACATTCTGAAATTTATACATCAATAGGTTGAGCTCCTTTAGTCATTTCTTTTAGAGGTACTGAAACTGTTGTATTTGAAGTCTGGGACCATCCACCTTCTCTCTCTTGCTGTCTTAATTTTTGCTCTTCTCTTCGTTTATATTCTTCGATTTCAAAATAATATCTAAAAGGTATTTTTACAAAATTAGAATATATTAGCATATTAAATCAATATGAAAATACCTTGGGGTTGTGATACCAAAAACAGAGGCTAAAAATTCCCCCATAGTATCCATTACTGATAAAGTGGAGGAGCCTGCAGACCAAGCTTTATACATAAACCAGGGCCCCCAAGTCATATTATTCTGCAAAAAATTGTTTTATAAATTTTGTCCTTGATTTATTACAAAACGGGCATTTAATTTTCTATTGTAAAAATCAAGACTAAAATATCCAGTAATTGTAAAATAAAATTTTTAAAAATGTGTATTTCCGCAATAAACTTTAAATTAACTTACCGTGTTGACAATTTCTTGATTATTTTTGCTATTATCGACATTGTCCTCTTCATCTGTGCTGTATTCTTCTAGTATACCATCGCTAAAATGTAAAATTCTCTTTGGAGTTTTGACCCTAACTGTTGCATTTTGGCTATCGGCTTCATTTGATATTAAATTTTCCTCTGGACGTACAAGAACCATTTTCATAACTCGTTTTTCTATAAATTTAAGAAAAATATGTTTTTACCAGGGCTGGTATATCTAAGGGGGTCGCGACATAGACCCAGTAAATGGATGAGGGGGTGACTGAGGCTAGGGGGGAAATAGTAGTCAGCTTAAGTTGGCAACACTTTTCTGACGTTCATTTGAACGAGCATCGAGCATAATAATGTCAATATGGTACAAGTGGAATGAACCACTGTTTTCCTCGTCGTAGTCCAATGTCGAATTAAAACTAAAAACATTTTGTACTTTTTTATATACCAAATTATGCAATTTGTTTCCATTTTATTTTAATGTTACATGAATAGGTACATGTGTTTGTGCTGCGGTAAATAAGTGTTCATGTGAAAATTATCTCTTAAACTACATTGTGATTGCACTCATCTCAAAACTGAATGCTGTAAATCCAGGATTTAAATCTTTCATAGTATTGCTTGGGATAAATTGTAAAAAAGGTGTTGGACAAAACGTTTACAACCTAAAATTGCATGAAAAACATGATAGAAGAAGGAATTTTACCTTTATGACATTCTCTTTCAACATTTTTAAGTGACTTTGTGGTTTGGTGAATGGACTGTTACCACAGTCAAAAGATTCAAAGTAAAAAAAAAGTGACCAAGTTCTAATAAGAATACATAAGTTGAATATGAAAATGTAATTACTTGATTTAAATGTGATTTAATTAAGAGTTAAATAGAGGTTTCATATAAACAAAGTGCTGTAAAATGTTAGTAAATGCAAAACCATTATTAAAGAGGAATTAGTTATCATCAATAAGATATTTTGTAGTAGCTGGTCTCTATAAATAATAAACTTGAAAGACTGAATTAGTAGTCACTTTTACACTAGAAGTAAAAACAAAAAAAAATGTGTGGTTGAGACTAATTTATGTATTTAATAAAAACATATTTAACATAAAAGCAGGTGTTATTTGAAATGTTTTATTTTAGTTTAATAATCTTTATAAATTGTGGGTACATTTGATCCGAATCTTGCAAATACTATAAAATGCATATGCTTCTATATGGTTAGTATTGGAGTAGAAGCACAAAAGTTTTGAATAAAAATATAGATACCGGAATACTTTGCTTGATTACTAAACTTTGGATGTTTTTGTTGTAGTCTGCTGTTAACACTATTGTCCTGAAATATTAAAAAAGCTAGACAAAGGTTTGTCCAACTCTTTTGTCAGCTTTGTTAATCTATGCTACTGTTATTCTGCATGCAGACATTTTTTACTGGAGATTTTCTCTAAGAACTGTATTCAGTTTCAAATTTCGGCCAGTTTTAGGAAAGTACCTCTGTTATAAAGGTATTTCAAATCCATCCTTTGTAAGATGTAGACAACAAATACATGCTAAAATGTATAGAAAACAAATGGCAAGATATTACACAAAATTATTTAAATTAACTAAAAACATACAAATGAAGTGAATAATACCTACCAACAATTTAAAAAGACCTAAAATAAATAGACTTAAGGGACTGGAGCTCTAAAAAAGGGAGCAATAATTTGTTATGCATTATCTATAAGAAAATTGTCTTCATCTCTTCAATTACCTTTTAAAATAAACAAAACTAAAACAGCACAAAATTAAAAGTGATCTACTTTTCCCGACGTATTTTATGTACATTTGAGATTAATAATTTATTAAATTGAAATATTTTATCCTAAAAAATATGGGCATTTTATAATGGAAATGTCATTTAAGAAATGACATTGATTTTTTTTCTTATATTGGTAAACCTGGCGACTACAAGTTGCCACGTTGCCAGATCAATGGCGACTACCTCAGATAAATAAATAAATAATAGATACAGCCCTATCATGCAATATTTGTAACCAGCATCTCCTCTCACTATATAGCAGTGGTTACATGACTTGATTGGATATTCGCTATTTTGGTTACACACCTGATTGGTTAGCAAAAAATTGACAGGACTACGTCAGTTAGGTTAGTTATTTGATGGTTATTTTGTGGTTCATTTTGAGTATATTTCGTACTTTAATTGAAAAATTTTTGTGGTTTAAGTTATTTTAGTGCATTTAATTGCTTAAAAATGCCAGTGAATTGTATTGTGTGCTCGAGAAAGTATCTCAAGTTCAGTTCGATAACGTTTCATAGGTAAGTAAATAAAAACCATTACCGTTGCATCACACTTTTTTGAGGGGTATCATAATTCAAAATAAGGTTTAAACAACAACAATTTATTTTAAAGTTTAAAATAACATTCAACGTCGAATTTCGAATTATTTTATTGTGCCTGTGTTTAATAACTTTGAATTTATTAATAGGCTATCTTTAAATTAAAGTTATATTGTTATGCACACTGTACATTTAAGAAGGCTCTAGTGGCATTTACTTTAGTTATAAAATCTTAGTATTGCTTTATTTTAATGACAAAATATATTGTTAGAACACCATAGTTATTTTAAAGTATACTATGTTGCATTCTGTATTACATGAAATCCTATATACCTACCTATATGAATAAGAAAACACTATTTTATACCTATTTAGGTTTCCAAAAGATCCTCAAACTAGATATATGTGGATGAAGAGTTTGGGTATACGTGAGGATGAAGAGTGTATTCAGTAGAATTTGTTCAATACATTTTGAGGATTCTGCCTTTGCTAAGTATCCAGGAGGAAAAATGAAAGGAGTAATGCCCTTATTTTACTCACAGCCTAAAGCTGTTCCTCAACTGGAAACTATGTCACATTCTAAACCTTCTACATCTGAAACTAAGTGAGTATTTGAACAAAAACTATAAATAATAAAAATGTTTTTTTGTCTTTGTTTAATTAATTTGAATATTCTAAGTATTAGTACGGTAACCAATAAATTTTGTAATTTTTTAATTACCTATTCATGTTATTTTAATAACACAATAATATATGTAATTATTATGATATGTTTTCTTATTGTCTAAATTAAAATAGGTTTCATTTATCTCAAGTAAATGTATATTATATTTACTTATTATATAGTTACATGTCACATAATTAATTTAATTTGTAAATTGTGTAGTAGGAAAATGGTTGCCAGTATCGCATCATCCTGAAAATATCTAATTCGTATTCTTGGAGACTTGTCTCGATTCTGCTTACGATCCTTTAAGTCTTTCAAAGGCATCCGTTTTTTCCACAGGTACAGTCTGAAGAACATCTAAAGCATCCCCTTGAAAGGCGATGGTCACATTTACTTACTTTTCTCGTTCAAACGTCCAGGACGAGATTAAAAAATAATTGGGCAGTATAAGAACCGATAATTGGATCAATCTCTTAAGGCTAAGACACGCTAAGATACTTCTGGGTGAATATAACCAGGAAACCATGGCAGGAAACATCGGAAGCCTGTGTGAGATCTGTATTCGCGATTCAAGCTAAGTGATACGCCCTCTGGAGGAAATTTGTAGAAGGTCCGAATAAGTAGGATATCGTTCAGTGTTGCCAGAAGTAGCAAAACTTCGCTACGTCGTCGGATTTTAGCTCTGGAAGAAGTGGATAAAACCTTTTATTTAAGAATCAAAATTTGTGTATGTTATGATAATCTATATTTATTTAAGGATTTTTTTATAAAACCGATTTATTATATTGATTTTTTTTAAATTTCAGTTCAGACTACTAGTAACATCCATAACCTACATAGAACATTAGGCTAATGACCTTAGATGTTGAAGCCGTACACCAAAGAAAAAAAAAAGTTCATTTATTAATTTTGTTTTAAAATCAGTTCATCATTTGGCAACATTGGCGTTCATGTTCATTGTTTACATTTTAATTTGTATCAATTACAAATAGTTTTTTTTTACTTTTTAGCTTTAAATTTGTTTTTTTCTTATAGCATGTGATAGTGTTTATATTAAAAATGAAATCTGTGATGAAGTCCCCAGAAAATTGCAATCTATATGGTGTTAATGTCAAAATCAAAACTGAAGATTCATTATTTTCCAAGTACAAGTCGTAAAATTTTGTTTTTTACGATAAATGGATATCTACAAATTCACAATATTGAAATTTTACGAAACTTTGTTTAGAATTAAACTGAAATCTTATTTTTTGACGGTTTTATTACCATTTACATGTATACAAAGTACTACGTGATTCACTTCATAATATAAGAATAAGTCTAGTAAGATTTTTAAATAAGTTCATCAATAATAAACGTGTGGTACCTGAAATGTCCTTTAAACCACATAATACAACATGTCCTGGGTTTAGTGAATACATATTTCTAGATGTTCTTGTAGTAACCAATAGGTAAATATTTCCAACAAATTAAGTCATACACATGATAAATATTATATTTATGACGAAAGCACGAGACTTAAACTTAAATTAACACTAAATGAAACTCAAAAACACTATTACAATGAGAATATTATCTAAAAACAGTTAAAAAAATCACAAATACAAAATCCGTCCAAAACAAAAACATGTAAATAAACAAACATCCTACTTATAGATGACAAATGACAGGCGCGCGAAAATTAATTTGAATCGCCAATACCCATTTATAAATGGTAATGTTAGTACCCGTGACGCCATCTATGTTTCAGCTTCATATAAGTGTTTCTCCTTATATCACAGTCATCTGTAGTCTGTGACCCCGTAGGATTATAGATCGTACGTAGATGCCGCCACGAGTACTAAATAAGAGTCAGATGCGCATTGTCTCCTATTACAAGTTCGTATTTCATCTTGAGTTTTGTCTAGTATTATAACCATTACTGAATTACTGTGTTTAGCAGAATACTAGAGAATAAAAGTTTACAACAAGGTGTTGTTTTATTGAGTAGTGTATAAATAAGGCATACATCACAGCCTGCATCTGCCTGAGCAAGAACAGGCTTCGTATTGTAACAAGGATCCTTACCGGGCATTATCAACTTAAAGGACACCTTAGTAAACTGAGAGTAGTAGAGGATAGTAAGTGCAGATTCTGTGAGGAGGAGGACGAAACCTCCATTCACATTCAAACTGAATGTGTAGTACTCCAGAATCCAACGGCACTATACCTAGTAGGAGGATATCAAATAGAAAAGAGAGAGAGATTTACCTAACACGAAGCCACTCCAAATCCTACACTTCCTTGGGAAGATAGGATTGGAAGGGTCGTTATAGACATTGAGACATTTCCTTGGTGCATTAGCGACAGAAGGGGCACAATAGATCTTTTAGATCGCAGTGTATTAACACCCCATTCCCAACAACATCTCAAGTGAATGTATATTATATTTACTTATTATCACGTCTCATAATTAATTTAATTTGTAAATTGTGTGGTAGGAAAATTGTTGGGTTTTATTTATCTGTAGTTAATGAATATTAGTTTTAGTTATCTAGATACCTGTCACATAATTATTTGATTTATAAATTATGTGAAAGGAAAATTGTTGGCAACTAAATTATTATTATTATAATCACCCCATTATCCATTATTAATTGTTATTAAACCAAATGAGTACAATAACACAACGTCTCTAAAAAATTGCTTAACGTTGTTCTATTTCTAACTGACAAGAATTCATCGAAATTAAGTTTTATTATTCAAAATATTGTGTATTAGAAAACATTGGCAATATTTTAAAACGGTAATTATGAACTTATCATTTATTACATAAGTATCGCTTTAGGGTGAGATTACAGAACGTCTGCAACTTTGCAGATCTGCAAATATGGCGGCAACTTTGAAAATCTGCAAATATGACTGACTTACACATGCAAGTATCAAGTTTTCGTATTCCAAATTTGGGTTTAGTGTTGTTGGGGGTAATAAACCACAATAAATATTGCGAATTTGCAGATATTTTTTGGAATACTTACATTTGTAAGTCCGCCATATTTGCAAAGTTGCAGATGCAAAGTTGCAGACGTTCTGTAATCTCACCCTTATTCTAAACTGTTATTATAACATTTGTTTTGTTTTCCAGATCTAACCCAACTATTTAATAAAATTAATTACATACCTATTATAAAAATTGTTTTTTTAACCCTACTTTCCCAATTATTAAAAACCATAAATATTTTCTGCAAAAAATTTAATTAAATTAAAAGGGACTAACAATAAACAGATACTTTATTCTATTTTTTATTACATATATAAGCGGTACTCATAACAAATCAATAAAAATAATTTACAAAAGAATCGATATTATTAAAAAATATTAGTACAAAAATTTAGAATTTATAAAACCTATCATTGCAACGTTTATTTAAATTATTTGTGTATAAAAATAATGTATGTTTTTAATTTAAAAAATATATGTATTGGTCGACTGAAAAATTCATTTTTGACGTTTTTCTATAAAAATCTCATATTAGAAACATTGATCCATTAAAATATCTCAAAACTAATAAAATAATATAAATCAAAAGCATTTCTATTGACATTTGTTTGATACGCTACTGGTTAATAAAACTAACAAACCCCGCTCTTCCCCTCCTAACAACTGGCTTGTATATGTTGCTTTCAAACAAACGCAATGTAAATTTTTGACATTCAGTTATCTATTATTATTTATTTATCTGAGGCGACTACTATTTCGAAAAAAATGGCGTCCAAAATGGACTCCTATGTCGCGACCCCCTTAGATATACCAGCCCTGGTTTTTACCGTTTTTTGTTGACAATTTTTTACCACTCCCACTTTTTTTGTAGACTGACATTGACGCACGTTTTGATAGGTTCTTTCGTTCGCTGTTGGTGCAGGGTCCACCAGTGTAATTTACACCACCTTTATTTACCTAGTTTACTTCCTCCTTATTCCTGATGTGGATAAAAAAACGCTCCAGATGTAAAAAATGCGTTCGATATGGATTCTCAAACGCGGCAAATTACGGACCTAAATATTAGGCATTCCAAACGGAATGGCTACTAGTGGGTTTTGACAGGTTATGATATGGCAACCATGTAGGCCTGGTGATTTGATAAGGTCAATGATATAGACAGTTACATAGATTGATCGTCCATATTTTTCAAAATAAACATAAACTTATGCCTTGAAGTAAAAATGTAAGCAATTATTATTTTTTAAATATCTAAAGGCTGAAAATTGGTTTTAAACAATGAACTGGAGTGGGGTAGAATGCTTGTCAATAGGCTTGAGATGCGACCAATGAACTGGAGGGGGGTAGAATGCCAATGTACATGTTGTACTATTAGAACTAGGTGCGACTCTATGGGCGCAGCCATTTTTATTTTTCATCTCACTCGGGACTATTTATAATAACCATTTTCTGTTTCACATTGTTATTGTTCAATCCACAAGCTGGTGGATCAGACAATAACAATGTGAAATAGGAAATGGTTATTTTAAATACTCCCGAGTGAGATGAAAAATAACCTATCTTCGCCCATAGAGTCGCACATCAAGTCTATTGACAAGTATTCTACCCCACTCCAGTTCATTGGATGCGACTCTATGGGCGAAGACAGGTTATTTTTCATCTCACTCGGGAGTATTTATAACAACCATTTTCTATTTCACTTTGTTATTGTCTGATCCACCAGCTTGTGGATTGAACAATAACAATGTGATACAGAAGATGGTTATTATAAATACTCACGAGTGAGATGAGAAATAAAAATGGCTGCGCCCATGGAGTCGCATCTTGTTCTATTGATACAATATGCACATTGGCTTTCTACCCCACTCCAGTTCATTGGTTTTAAAACACATTTTTGCTAAACCGATTCAAATTAATAAATATTTGCCAGGCAATATGGCCGCTCGCAAACGACCAGCTGTGAGAAATCTATATAACTATATATGTATCATTGACCCTGTTAATGACAACATAACAACAGGGTTGCCATATCTAAACTGTATGTCCCCACTTGTAGCCATTTGGACAGGTCGTTGGAATGCCTTACAACTGATTTTTTTTGGATGAAATTTAACTTATTAAAGTTAAAGTCAAATATAACTTTAATTTAAAATGAAGAACCACGGTACATTAAAAAGGTGTAAATTTAAAAACTGCACATGCTCCATGCCCCTCTCCCTTTTTCAGGCATATGCGCAATGTAGACGACTTTTGAAGAAGATGGAGGTGTTGGCAACATTGCTTCCTGTCCTGTCTGTTTACAATCGGTGGCATGTAAACAATTTGTTCTAATATAAAGGGGATATATTAAGGTGTGGTTGGTTTTTAAAAATGTTGTAAAAATGGCTAAATCAAACTTTGTTATATCATATTTTAGTAAATATAAAGTGTGTGTTATGTGATTTTAGTGTGTATGTGTCTTTTGTTTGCGTTGGAATCGGTTTAAATGTCAAAAGGTTTAGGTTATGCTCCAGTGATCATACCAGAACTACCTATAGCCCCCTTTTAACTTGAAATGAGCAATTGGGCAGCTAGAATGCATCGGCGAGCTGCCACTTTCGGTAATGTTGTCACGTCTTGTGGCCACCCCACAGGAGCTTTCCCACGAAGATTAGAAAAAGTAAAATTTGGTGTTCCTCTAGAAGAAGTCTGTAAAAATGATATTCCGGGACCACTTTTGGTGAGTATCATATTTACATTAACCGATATTGTTGCCGAGTTTAATATTACATACGGAAGGGTATCGAATTTCAACATTTGGTTTGACCAAACCTCTTTAATTCATGTGACCTATTTTTATGTTTGAAGTATTTTAGTAACTTCTTGGAGATTTTCTTCAATCAAAATTTGAGAGTATACATAATTCGATGATATTGGTGAATATATTGTTATTCTATTATACAAAAATACTGATTTAAATACAAAAAATGTACTGTTCACTCTTTGACCTATTAATTTTGTTGTGTAACTAGTATTTTAAATAAAAGTTAAACTGTTTTTAAATATATAATAGGTCTTATCTATCCTATTGGTAATCATAAAAATATTTGCCATACAAGGTAGATAAATATTTATAGCATTTATTTCTATTCCATTTTATGATGGATTTTTTTTAATGAGCGTTATCTAAAAAGTGAGGAACATTTTAATATCTAGAGATATCATTTTTTAGTTGAAGTACATTAAAACAAGATTAGAAAGTTTTTTGAAACTATTGTATTTATGTACATGTACTAATTACATAAAATACTTCTTGTGTAACTAATGTATTTATAATAGTTACTTAAGTATAGGTTTTAATGTAGTTTTCTGGGTATTATGACGTAGGCTATACATTCAAATTTCATGAGAGAGATGGTTAGGTGAAAGTGATTTTTCATAGTATTAAGTACTGGCTTTTCAAAAATGTTAAGAAACCTTACTTATTTACAGAAATACAAAATAACATACCTATTTAGTTAGTGGCATCAAAATTTAATTATACTATAATTAATATTATTAATAAAAAAAGCCTTTATTTAAAAAATGTATCTATATTTGTCCCGAAAATGCATAGCTATTCTTTAACTCTGTGATAACATAATATAATATCTTTATTTGCCTGAGAAAATATTACATTTTATGGCTCGTCAAATTACAATTAAAACTAAATATATATATAATAAAATTTACCTAAATATAATAATATAAAATTGAAATTTACAAACATTTACAACATAGTACACTGAATCACTCAGAGGCCACAGTGACAGCCTCCATCCTCCATCTGTATTGATTTAAATTCATCTAAGCTATATAGGCAATTATTGGATAACATTTGTTTTAATGCATGTTTAAATTTATCTATAGGCTGATTTCTAAAATTAAGTGGTAGTATATTGTGTAGCTCAATATAATATTTCTTTGTCCTTTTCAGTCTATACTGAATAGGGACTAAGTTATCTTTGTGCCTTGTATTATAGTTATGGATATCTGAGTTGGAAAAAAATGTGTTAATGATTATTTCTTACAAATAGAAGGTTTTGATAGATTATTGCTGTATAGAGTGTCATAATTTTAAGTTCTGGGAATACTGGCCTACAACTGGCTTGCCAAGAAGCATGTGTTATGGCTCTTATGGCTGATTTTTGCAAAATAAAAACTCTTGAGATATGTGTGTCAGCAGCATTGCCCCAACATATTGTCCCTTAAGTCAAATGACTATGAAATATTCCTGATAGCAAAAACTGCTCGTGATAATTTGGAACAAAGTGCTTCAATATGATCTGTCCATCTGAGATGTGGATCAATTTGAATGCCAAATATTTTAACAGAATTGTTATTAACTTGTTCACTATTTACTGTAAATAATTGGGAGATAGTTTTTGTGTCATTTAAAAAGAGGTTGTTTACAGAAAACCACCTCTTTGCCTGAATCATGACATCAGAGTAAACTTGATCATGATCTGTTCCTCTTTTAGTATTAATACAAAAAGAAGTATCATCAGCAAATATTCATGTGATAAGGTCTTCAAAATGCATATGGTCAGGAAGATCATTAATGTATATCAAAAAGAGTAATGGACCTAAAATTGAGCCCTGAGGGACACCTCTCCTGATATGCATCAATGAACTTTTGCAATTTTCTATGATGACTGTTTGACATCTGTCAGTTAAATAAGATTCAAAAAGCTGTAAACAAATCCCTCATACTCCATACCTCTCCAGTTTTGATAATAGAATTGAATGATCCACACAGTCAAAAGCAGAGCTTAGATCTGTAAATACACCTAAACAGTTTTCAGCTTTTTCAAAACAATTTTCTATATATTGTACCAGAGATAATACTGCATCTATTGTAGATCGAATGGAGTGAGTATGTTGGAAGAATTTAAATATATTAGATTATTATACATAATTTTTTCAAAGATTTTGGAGAATATGGGAAGTACAGTAATTTGTTTGAAGTTGCAAGGCTGAGAAGGGTCTCCTTTTTTAAATAGAGGACAGACCTTAGCAATTTTCATGATATCAGGAAATATTCCTTCAGTTAGACAAACATTTATAATTATAGTTAAAGGTTTAGATATAAAAGAAATACATTTTTTCATTATAAATACATTAAATCCATCAATATCCTCTGTTCTTTTATTTTTTAAGTCTTTTACAATTGATTCTATATCGGTTTGGGTAACTGACTGAAAAAACATTGAATTTTTTAATTATGGTATATTTATAAAGGAAGTAGCAGGTATATCTGGTTTCTCTAGATTCTGATTGCATCCACAAGACCCAAGACTTAAAATTTGAAGATATTTTATTTATTTTTAACAGATATACCTACCTACCATTTTACAAAAAAAAAGAATACTAGGTATATACATGAGAACATTAAAATATATAATATAGATATCAAACAGCATTAGATATTACAATAATTAATAAAGAAAACAAAGGATATTAAAAATAAAAAAAAAATAATACATGTAAGTCTCTAATTTGGCTATGTATCCATATAACAAAGTTGAGGGTGGGTTGTCCCATGACTCTTAGACCTCACTAGGCCCATTGTGAATCCTCCTAAATTGATAGACAAAACTTGCTGAATATCAATCTTCTAATAAATGTCAGAGTCAGGCATTCATAGAAGATGGTCTCATCTTGTTTGCATCCCCCGCAGAGTGAGGATTCTGACAGCCCCATGCTATTGATATGCTTTCATACTTGGCAATGATCAGCCAGAATACTTTTGATTAGGTATAAGAAAAATGGCGTCCAAAAATAATTTGTCTCCTTGAGTAACAAAAATGGATATATCTGCCTACTCTATAAACTATTTTTGGGTGCTATTTTTCACACATGGTGGTGTGAATGACAGCCTCTTAAGACTTTAAGGGTCATCCATTTTTGTATAATATTGTTCCTGGAATTAATAAATATTTATTACTATTATATATTACTTATGGCTTTTGGGTCACCTTATTGTCACATTCTAATTATTTTACTTAAAAGTGTATAAAAAACAGTATTTTGAAGTTCTTTTAGATTAAGTCCCTTAATTTAAAATAGAACTGTCAAACTTTATCCCTTCACAGGTACTTATTTTAAAACTAAACAAAGAAGCACCTTACAGAAGAGATGTATTTCGTGCCCCTGGCCATCAGGGCGCTATGAAGAAGCTCATTCATTTCCTTCAAACTGGCAGGCTGGTCAATATGGATAATTTTAGTGTTCACACTATAGCTAGTGTACTCAAGAAGTTCCTCAGGAAGGTGCCAGGTGGAATTTTTGGGCGAGAAATTGAAAATAGGTTTTTTCAAATTATAGAAATTATGGATTTTAGAGTGCAGCAGGAAGAAATTCACAAGTAAATTTTGTTTATTAATAATTAAAATAGTTTACTTAAATCGAGGCAATGGTTGTTTACAAGGTAATTAAAAAATATTTGATAAGTTTTTAGACACTTCTTCATATATTTGTAGATTTTTTGTTTCATGGAGATTGGTTTTTAATAGTAATTTATTTAAAAGAAAAATATTCCGAAATTTCCTAAATATGTGGGTGTATCAATAGAGGTATCAATTGACTTTTTATTTTAATCTTTATTGTTATAATATATTATGATTCAAATTGTATTTATTGCTGATTTCCTTATGTTTATTGTGATTCAGACAAAAATAAACTTAAATAAAATGAATAATACACATCCAACTTATAAATACCTATTTTAAACATAAAAATAATGGGTTTAATCATTTCCTAGAGTTTTAAAATACTGACACAATTCAAGGTCGATTTTATTTTCCTTTTGATAAGAATTATCTATTTGAATGGGAAAAAAAATAGATACTCTAGATTAAATTGTTTTTACATGTGTTCTTTACTGTAGAGATAACAGATTTGTTCCAACAGATATTCCAAACAAGATGTAAACTTTTTTTTCAATTTATTTAGAGCCAATTCTATCATTGTGTTAAACGAAGTTTAGATTACTAAACGAAGATTAAAATGACATTTTTACGTTTACAATGTCATTTTATTTGTTAGTAAGGGGGTACCTCAGGGGTGTTCCCATATAAATTTGGTCAAAATCTAATAATTGTGTCTATGAGAAAATCCTCATTCTCTTCATTTTTTATGTCTGTTTAACGATAATTCTTTATCACCTTGTCCAATTTCTATGATTCTTTTTTTTGTTAGTAAGGGGGTACCTCAGGGGTGGTCCCGTATAAATTTGGTAAAAATTTAATAATTGTGTTCATGAAAAAGTCCCCATTCTCTTCATTTTTTATGTCTGTTCTAGGATAATTCTTTACCATCTTGTCTAATTTCTATGATTCTTTTTTTTTTAGTAAGGGGGCACTTCAGGGTTAGTCCCATATAAATTTGGTTAAAATCTAATAATTGGGTCCATGAGAAAATCCTCAAACTCTTTATTTTTTATGTATTTTTAGTGATAATTCTTTACCTCCTTGTCCGATTTCTATGATTTTTTAGTAAGGGGGTACCTCGGGGATAGTCCCATATAAATTTGGTCAAATTCTAATAATTGTGCCCATGAGAAAATCCTCAAACTCTTCATTTTTTATGTATGTTTAGTGATAATTCTTTACCATCTTGTCCAATTTCTATGATTCTTTTTTTGTTAGTAAGGGGGTACCTCAGGGGTGGTCCCGTATAAATTTGGTCAAAATATAATAATTGTGCCCATGAGAAAATCCTCAAACTCTTCATTTTTTATGTATGTTTAGTGATAATTCTTTACCATCTTGTCCAATTTCTATGATTCTTTTTTTGTTAGTAAGGGGGTACCTCAGGGGTGGTCCCGTATAAATTTGGTCAAAATATAATAATTGTGTCCATGAGAACATCCTCAAACTCTTCATTTTTTATGTATGTTTAGCGATAATTCTTTACCACCTTTTCCAATTTCTATGATTTTTTTTTTTGTTAGTAAGGGGGAACCTCAGAGGTGGTCCCATATAAATTTGTTTAAGATGTGGTGATTGCATCGGCATTTTGTAGTCGTTTTTTTAAAATTACTTTTAATACTTGTTATATTGACCGCTTTACTGATAATATTGGCCACTTTGACAACATTACTAATGTAACAAAAACATGAATCGTTATGTAATTCTTTGATAGAGCAAATCATTCTGGTAATTATTTTTAACAAATGATAGTTCTTGAATTGAATACCACGAAATGCCAGAAGCTTTGTCATATAGGTACAGTAGGTAGGTATGTTGAAGGAAGTTGTTTACAAATTATAGAAAAAAAATATATATATTGATAAAAAGTTCTGAATTGCTTACAAATCAATAATCAAGAATCAATTTTGTAAAATATTTAGTGACATCCAAAATATTCACTAAAGTTAAATTCAAATACAGAACAAAATGGCATTTGAAAATCTTTATAGGGATTGAAAATTATGTTCCACTTTAGATTCACGTCCTTCTCTTTAGAAAAATATCAATTAGTATATTTGAATTGAAAAAATCCAATAAAACTCTTATATCTACTTTTATGGGCATACATTTTAAATTCCTATCAATATTTTCAAGTTGAATGCCTTTCCTCATTTATTTTTAATTTTCCCTGTATACCACTAAATATTTTATAAATTTGTTTCTTTCTAAAATATTTTGTAAAATTAAAAATAAACAAGTTTTCCATTTGTAGAAAACTTTTTTAGACATACTGTATACTTTGTATATTTTGAAGGACCTTTTTGAAACTAGAAATTACTAAATGATCAATTATTTTTTCATATTACACAAGAACAACAATTGCCTCTGTTTGAATTATTTTATGTACAGGGTGGCCAAACGAAAATGTACCAGTCATTATCAGGAACTGTAATATTTTAGACAGTCGTTCGAACCGGTCCATTTTTTATTAAAGGGGACATCTTTCGATTATATCCTCAACTGTCATACATCATTCCCCTCCACTCCGCCACTGAAATCAACACAAGTTTATGAATAATTCAGCAATGTGACTATTTTTTGCATTACCTTTGATTTTAATGCCCTCTAGTGGTATGTATTGTAAGCTGTAATACTTCATTTTAAAGCTATTTTTTTTTTAAATAATTTATTGCAAAACTAAATTTGACTTAGCATAAAAACGTCCCTTTAGATCTCTTCAACGCCCACCAGTTGGGAACCACTGGTTTAAAATTTTGACGCAGTTTCTGATATTGGTTTTTGTCTGGCCATCTTATATAGTAGTAATTATTGTCCATAACAATAGTTTCCTTGAGCCAAACTTCAAACAGTGATTACTTATTCGAAATGTAAGATGATTAAAATTTTGTTTTTGGGTGTCATTTGAAAATGTGTCTAACATGAATAAAGCGAAATATTTTAAACTGTACTCACTTGTAAGTAAAGTTCATTGGTATGTTAAATATGTTTTAAATAACAGGACGATTTATATTTATTGGAATACCCTCATGTAAATTGTAATAATGTTTATTAATAGATACATTTTCAAACAAGAAGATATTGTAGAAATTTTGACAAAGGTTTTTATTTTATAAATATCTGTTTCGTTTTGCACTATTGTTTTAAGAATATGAATCGCCTTGTAGCAAAGAAAATCGTTACCATTTTTATAATAATTAATAGAAATAATATTTTTATTATCAGAGGAATAAGTTTGGCACAAAGAAACTCTCGATGGGACTAATAAATTCTACAAAAATTTAGACAATTTGATGTGATTCAGTTTTGTATTTATTTACAAGGGCGCCGGTATTTTTTGAAACTCCTAACGACCCGAAAATTTTCTTTATAGAATCATCACTTCTTTACCAGTTTATACACAAAGGCTCTTGGTGTTGCTTTTTGGCACATTTAGAGTCATAGCGTCCAATAGTGAGAAAGCATCTACCGGTATGACCAGCGAAGCGCTAGGTGTTAGCGTCGCACCGAGCTTCTTTCACTCCTGCGTTAGCGATGGTAAAACTGCCAGAATGGAGGATGTCACGAAGTACAAGGTAAACAGTTATTGACATTTTTTTGTGTATTTATAATGAATTATGTGTACACATTTGACCAGAATTGTCGAAATTCCTTCATAAATCTCAAAATCGATTATTCGTAAAAAATCGATTATCTGAACATAATCTATTATTCAAAAATAATCGATTTAAATGAAAATCAATTAATAAAAAAACGGTTTATTGATTATGGATTGAAATAATTGAAAATCCCGTAATTCCTTCGAAATTCCTTTGCAAGTCCTTCGGAATTCTTTTATAAGTCCTTAATAAATTCCTTTATAAATCCTTCAGAATTCCTTTATAAGTCCTTCAGAATTCCTTTGGGAATCCTTCTGAATTCCTCTGTACTCAATTTCTCTAATAAATGTACCCCTGGTTTTTTCTGAGTATCCACATTGAACGCCTCATTTATCCCGTTTGGATTTAAATGTAGGTTGCCTCACGAGTCATGAAGCATTTAATAGAGGAGTTCGCCGGTTCGAATCTATTCGGAAGAGAGAATTACGAGTACTACGCCCGGGTGACGGGGCGAGTGTTGAGAGTGCAAGGCGAATGGATCTGTTCCTTCCAGTACCCTCCGCCCCCCACGAACGGGACCTTCCCCAATGAATACACGGCGTTAGAAAGATATTTGCTTGGTAAGTGTTGAGTTGCTTCGAATTTTGATGTGGGCTGCGATTAATACTTGAATTTGGCTGTGAGCTTTTAATAATAATTGTGTTACTAATTAAAGCGACTAAAAATTAATTTTGTTATGCTAAATAATTTGTGTGTCCGAAAAATGCGCGCCAGAGGGTCTTTCAAACTATTTTGCTAAATTTGTATCTTTTGTGTAGCTCCATTACTTCAAATAACTTGCTTATTGAGTCGAATGCTTACTTGAAATCGATAAATAGATGTTACTGCTTTCTTTTGTTATTTGTTTAATTTATTTCGTAGTTCTTTTGAAAAGTTATGAACTACGTCCAACGCTGCATCCCTTATAAATTATCATATACGATTCGTTCCACTAATTAAAAATATAAAGATTAATTATTAATTATTACAATTAGAGCCCCGAATTATATAAGTTAGTATTGATTTAATTATTGTTTCTAAGATTTTCTTGGTACGTATTTTTAAAGGACACTGTATAATTAAAAAATTACTATACATTCAACACTATGCGGAAAAAAGTTCTGTTGATGGAAATTGATGTTATTTTGAAGGTACAGACATTTATTTATTATTCAAAATTTAATATTTATTTGTGGTTGTTTTGGTATATATTTTCTTCGGAAAACCTTATCGCGTGTTCATTTAGAAGTCATTAAATATGAATGTTTGTCAGTCCTTATCACTTGAAAAACTACATTATACTTTTTAAATGATATAGATATTTCGCAGTAACCTATTTTAAAGTCATTTCAATTCAGGTAATAAATTGGAGTTTTCATAATCATATAGGACAGATAATTTTTTATAATTACGCCGCATTACAGCACATTTTCAATGTAGACAGCGTAATTGTGACAATAGCCATCAGTTTACGAAATTATTTGATTCAACTGCTCCCAAAAATATATATGAATACAAAACAGGACATTCGCCGATTATACCTCAACATCTTATATTTAGGGGACACAGCATACCCTACATTGTTGTTTTAAGGATAACTTGAAAGTTCCTAGATTAAAAATAAAGAAGATAGTTCGATTTTCAAAAATACATTGCCATATCCACCAGAGTTTAGTGTCAGTCTTCTTCTGATCCCTATAACAATAATTGAAAAATAGCAACGCATTGAAATATATACCGTTGTACTTTTCATAAATTGCGCTTTGGCGTCAGCTGTACCAGAAAAATTTCCAGTTTTTTCATATTTCGCCTTAATTTATAATTTGTGTAGTCATTAATATGCAACTGGATCAAAAAAAAGGAATTCTCCTGTAAAGTTACCAAAATTTTACAGTTCAATTGTATCTTCCTTTTGAAATTATTGTTTTAGGTTTGTAAATTTGTGTGGCTACCTCGTTACTGACTTCCTTTTTAAAGAATTTTAAGCATAAATCATACACTTTTTCTTCAGTTGCATCGTAATTCTTACGAAATCTGTATTGCTGTGTAATATTGCATTATTTTCTTTAATTTTATGTATAACTTGCCTCAACTTACTTAATATTAAATAATTGACATTAGTCTTCGATACTTAGTATAAAATATGCGCCTTCGCCAAAAAAATATCAATTTTCAAACAACAAAACTTGATTTCTGTAATTCCACAGCACACAATTTAAATACAAGGCTAATTTACACAATTTACTGATTCCCTTTATCTTATCAGCATCCTTACATTTTTGTTTAAATAATATTAAACTCACAAGTAAATATTACCTTACAATAAAATAATTGAAATAAAAATAAAAGAATTGAAGCCTGCAGTCTATCGGGTTATGTACTAAGTAATAGTAAATCTGTTTCATTTTACATTCGAACAGATACTCGATTATTTCAAGTTGATATTTTTGATTGACAACAGATCTCTTGAAATATATTTTTGAATTAGATTTGATGGGGGTCAAAAGTGATATTTTCTATGTTTATGTAAAACGGTTTGATGTACGATAGTACGACGTACTACAAAAGTATGAAAATGGGTTTTTTCACTTTAATTTTACTTAAATTACTTAAATATACGCACAATATTTCTGGTAATTCTGTCAAGAATTGTATTTAGAATAATTATTATTTGGTTTGTTGAAGATTAGATTTGTTATTACTAGTCACGTTTAAGTCTTTGTGCATTATTAATGATATGACGTCTAGTCTGGGTATTATTTCTATTGGTTGTGGTTAGTTTTGCTTACCTGGTCTCTTCTGTATTGTAACTGTTTTGAAATTATATAAAGTAAAATATTGTAAATATATGACAAAAAAACACCCTATCAAATTTTTTGTCTCCTAAAAATAATTACTAGATAATTAAAATTAAGAAAGTGAATAAGGTATTTAAACTTTAAAATGCTTTGTTTCTACTTTGAAATGTGGCAATATTGTAAGGCAACAACTGTAAGGTTGTTTCTTAGAAATTTGCATAGCAAAAAAATGTTTTTACAATACTCCTACAATTTTCATATATTCAAGTCTCTAGGGCCCTATTATCGAATATCTATTTCTAAATATCGCACGTGACATTGATGAAATGTCGAATAAAGGTTATAATATCGCTCATTTGCAAGAATACCGTCACAATTAAAAAATCATCGCTCTGAGTCATGTATGAGGCGCGGTTACTCAAACCGCTGTATCTTCGTTAGTTTTGCTCCGATTCATATCAATTTTTCACACAATATTCTTGAAAGATCCTCCATTCACAAAATCAAATGTAAAAAAATGCAAAAAAATGTTTAAAAAGTTTACTCCCACCTTAAAATAATTGAAAAGGTACATTCTTTGTACAGAAACAACGACACTTTAGCAGTTATAGTGGTATTCATTTAACGGCGCTACTACCATTGACACTTTTTAAGTTTCAGCCTGGTAAATCAATCAATTAAACTTGATTATTTCGAATTGAAGCTTTTTGAGTTACGCCGATATTCTCGCAAATGAGCGATATGTATGTTGTGAGTGTTGTGACAATGACAGTTTATCTTTATTTTTAAAAGAAATGAAAGTAAAGATTGTATAATTTGTTTTTAAAAATATATGAATTGGATATTTACAATAATTTATAAAGCTCTATTTTTACAAGTTGCAGGTAAAGAGATTATATTTTGATATAAATTTCACTTCCAACTTAGGAAATTTCAGTTAAAATGAGTTACTATTTTTATTATTATTGATAAAGTTCAGTAAGTGGTAAAACCGATGAGACTGATCTAGCATTGATAAGTCACATTTACTAACTACATAGTAAGATATAGCAGAGCAGTTATCACAATACATTAACTTATATCACAGTTTATCACAAAACATTAATTGGTATAGTGGACGATAATGTTTGAAGCATTTTTTAATTTTTTATCTAGGCGATTCTTGAACTGGTTAACTGAATTCGATACGATAGTGTCTTCTTCCAATTTGTTCCAAGTATACACCACCCGGTTGCTTAAATAACTTTTTCTTTAGAGCTTGTTGCATTTTTCTTTTTCCAGTTTTTCGGAATACCATGTGTTCTATTTTGATGAACATGAAAAATATTTTTGCAAGAGTAATTCCCACTAGTCCATTTCCATTTCAATCAGGTCACCTCTAAGTCTACGTTCTTTATGTGTTTGGAGTTGCAGAATTTACAAATAGTTACAGCTTTGAAGCTCTGAACTTTTTCCAACATTTCTATATCTTTAACAATATATGGATTCCAAAATGGCATTGTAAATTCTATGTTGGGTCTTATATAGGTTTTTGAATGTAATTCTGATTAGATAAATCATTGCGTTTGACTTTTTTGCAATTTTAGAAACATATGAGTTTCCCATTTTAAATCCGATGATATAAATACGCCCAAGATCTTTTTAAACTGTAACTGTTAGCAGACTATCACCATTGAGGCAATATACATTTTCTGGATTATTTGGGCCTACATGCAGTACCGTACATTTATTATGATTTAGGGGGAGCAACCATTTATCTGACCCAGTTGTTAGTTGATCACAAGATCTTTTTAGAGGGTTGCAATGATATTTTGCATCATCTGTAAAATATTCTGAAGGCTAAATCGCTAGTGAATAACAGTGGTCCCAGCACAGGACCCTGTGGTACTCCATTGATAAGAGGAAGCAACAAATATGACTAACATCAGTGATTTATCTGTTCAATTTGATATACAATTTTCATCATTGATGATGTGGAACAGACATTTTATTGCAATGGGTATACAAGGGAAATATATTTGTTCTTAATTAATTTCAAAGTACAACATATTTCTATTATCTCTGGATAAAATCTTCGATTAAATTGAAAGGCCATGACATTCGCTATTATTACACTGCTTATTAGATTTTATTTGAACTTTAAATTGAATTTTATAACGATTTTTGCTATATTAACTAATTGATACGTTTCATTGTTTACTACAACAAATAGAATGTTTTTTTAAAACGATCACGGCCAACTTAAGATGCATTGACGTGTATATAATTGCGAATTTCCATGCTGCCAAATTTTTATTTTTCAATTATGACTATTTGGAACACTCTTAAATTCCAGACTGTTTTTAAATAGGAAAATTAGCAGGGTCAGTCCAAATAAAGCTATCGAGAATTATATTTTTTGCTGTTTGTATTATTAATTGTAGCTGTATTTCAGCTATGAAAGAATATTGTGTGCATATTTAAAGATTTGAATAAAACATTAAAGCGGACAGAACCATTGAGACCAGGCGCAGCTCGTGGCCTCGTCTAGTTTTGAAGAGCACACCCTATATACTTAATACAAATATATATATTTCTTATAGAATACAAGAAGGAGACATATTACATTGTATCATAATAAAAATATATTTATATTAAGTATATAGGGTGTTCCTTCATAGACTTGGCCATGAACCGTACCTGATTGATACTAAATGTTCAAGATTGACCATCAATGACCTGATCTATTATTATTATTCTCTTAAAGGGCAATTGAAACTGGGTAAAAAGACTTGGCTACAGTGCGAATACTATGACCACTGGAACAGTAGTTACAATTTGGAAGGTAATGATGATGATGATTATATACGATCCAACAACACTTTTTAATTTTCTTTGTTTTTTTTTTCTCCTCTATTCGTATACATTTCAGTATTTCGTCCTAAGTTATAGTTTAATTATTAATTTAGTTAGTTACTTAAAAATCTAATGTTAATAACACTGTGATATTATAAGTATTTTCTATAATAAAATTAGTAATTTTTTTTAGTTTTGTATTATTTTGTGTTCGTTTATTTTTCGTTGTTTTTAGTTTGTTTAGTGTGATGTATGGGTGTGTTTAAATATCAAAATAATACAATAAAATTGATTTTCTTCTTGTGTTTCATATTTATCAAGTAGTTTTTGTAGAAACCTTGAACATTTCGATAAATTGCGCTTTTCCATTCCAAATACACTTGTTTACACATAATTTTATAAATGTTTTAATGCTTCAACATAAACTTTTGGTCATACAGACATACATTAAAAGATGAGCTCTAAACGAGACGACCTCTGAAAATGTAGAAGCTGTTAAAAAATATATAGAATACGATACAGTCACAATAACCAGCAAACTTTCAGCACATTCGATGAGATGTAACGGTACTTGTTAATACCTGTTACACGAAAGAATTGGTGCTTGAGTCCACAAACATAGAGGATGCTTGAAATTTAAAAAAGAGACTACATCCATTACTTAATATTGTATTTTTAAAAATGTTTTGAACGATCAGATGCAGTTATAAAATAACAAGTGACTCGTTATTATTTTTCCTTTGCTATTTTTTTATAATTAACACTTGGTATTTTTCTGCAAAAATTACAACCTCAGGAAGTGACTAGGCTTTCAACACCTTGATAATAGTATGCCAAATAAATATTTTCTCAAAACACAGTCATTTATTTAAAATTTAAGATTATCAGGTAAAAGCTTTTATTAATTATAATATCTACAATTACAATTTAATAATTTTAATATTAATAGTGGCTTAATAAATTAAACAAGTTTTTTTTTTCCTAATTTTGATAATATAAAGTGACAATTTTTGTAATCGCAGCAAGTGTCAATCTACTTTATGCAATTATTTGCATAATATTGAACGAAATAGCTATTTAAACAACCAGTTACGAAATGTCTTATTTTATGTAACTGGTTTTATAAATAGCTATTATGGCATTTTGAAGAAATAGTGTAGGTGGAAATTAAATCAAAATTTCAAGTAGGTATTTGATATGGATTAAAACAGTTTTTGGGTTAAAAATTGTGTAGATAATGAAGACGTTTTTACAGGTGAGTTTAAAAGAAACCCTTTTAAAAATATTTCTTGGATTCGCCGGCTGAAATTTTCATTTTGAACAGCAACACTTACACTTTAGAAATGTTTTTGCCATAATTAATTTATATAATAATAATGTTATTTTCTAAAGTGTATGGTTATGCAGGATGACTCATAAGCACGTTAAAATATATCAGAGGGCCCAGTAATTGGATTCAAAGAGTAATCCATGAAATATTAAGGCAGATGGAAAAATATTTACTTATCAGTGAGACGATTTTTTCTCTAGTTCCGATATTTTTTCACATAATTTGACAACGCTGCTTTAAATAATAAAAAGAACATCTCACAGCTTATAACTTCGGAAAAATATTAATTAAGAATCCCTATGGATTAAAAGTACAATATACTTATACCATACAACCGAAAAACAGTACAAAGTGCAATATACGTCAACACTATAACAACCCCCCAACATTGTCATTACTTTGTATTTAGAATACTGTTAAGTGGTTTTTCATTATTTTCATCATAGTTTGTCTTTTTCTATGGACAAACTTTTTACCTCGGGATGAAAAGTGGCTCTTCAGTCTCTTGGTGTTTTCTGTTACAATTTGCTTGGTATAGAAAACAATTTACTAAAATTAAAATACTTCAATCAGTGTCACCGACGTATTTGACCGAATTGACAATTCATCTGTCATAACAGTCAATTTCTTGTTTTACAAGATCACTTGGGAGACGTGTATGTGTGCCAAACAAAAAGAAACCATTCTGTCATTGATTTTGACATATATTCACCAGGTCCTGACAATCTATATCTACAAAAATAATAAAAACTATATGTCACATAATAAATTAGTGTTTTACTTTTGGAAAAATATCAAAACGATGGAAATAATCAAATTAAACCCTAATATTTGAAGTTAGAAACTCTACAAAACTAAAGGCATTTCTTTATAACTTTACCATAACTTACTAGAACATACTTACGTTAATGTTACGTTACCAGAGCATTTCTTTATACAGTTTGATTACTTCGATGGCGTCATATATGTTATCAAAGCATGTAACTACATTTAACGAAGCATTTCTTTTTATAAGATTACAAGAACATAAATAATAAAAAATAAAACCAAAACATCCCAAAATCTCTTAGAATTCAAATTTAATTAAATTTGACATATGACAAAATAATACGTTACCACAGTATATGTAACGTTGCCAGCTTATAAAGAAATGCCTTAAATAACTATATACTAATATCTATTAATAATTTTGAGCTATCGCTTAAAAGTAGGCTACTTTCATTGTTTAATAAACACAATAACACTTAAAGCCACTTAAATTTAGTCTAAAGACAATTTTATTTGACACTAATACAGCATATTAATTTGTTGGTCTGTTAAGTTAAGATCGACCCCTACAATATTTTAACTCGCTACGAAACATCCTGTATAACGTTAAAATATAAAAAAAAACTCATTGGTTTCTAATTGGCATTCATCTGGTGGTCGGTATAACAAATCATTAATAATTTTAAACAATATTGAAATTAAATGAGTAGAATCTGATTTTTTAAAATTTATGCAAATTACTTATTTCTAATGAATATCTGGTAGCTTATAATCCTAGTGTCTTGCACCAATTGGTACAGGTCTACAGAGTCACATTGTCTTCCCTGAATATTTATAATATTTGCGATCCAGTGTATCCTCGCAGTAGACCAGATTGTGATAGTGTACTCCTCTCCACGTAATCTACAGGTAAGATCATCGTTATAGGGATATATGATGAACTAGAGAGAATCCAGTTTATAAATTTTTATTTATTCACTCAACTTTAGCACTTTTGGAATACTTCCATCTAGTTACATAACCTCCAACTACTTTGTTTCCTGTTCTGTTATCCATCTAGATCTAGAGTATTTACTTGCAAGATCACGGTGAAGCAAGGAATTTAGTGCCGAAAGAGCTCTCACAATCTACAATCTTGCTATATCATCTATAATAGATATACCTTTAATAACTTCACCTCCCCCTTCCCACTCCATGACAAAGGTAAAGATAAAATAAGAAAGGGAGCCTATAATAGAGATGTGTAGGAATTATACGTTGTTAGGTTTCGTTGAAATGAGCCTTTTACTTCGACCCAGATAGATCTATTGCAAGCTGTTGATGGACTGTAGGAAGAACACTGGTCACAACCGACCTGTCGCTTCCTTTTCTAATTTATCTCTACCCTAAATTTTTCAGATATTTTTGATTCTTTTCTCAACGCCATGGTGCCTTAATCAGTTAGATTATTATTCAGTATGAAGCTCTACTTTCTATAATGTCTGCTTAAATGGAATGTTTTTTCCAAATACGTTCGAAATATAAAAGATCAGACAAATACGTAATTCAGTTACTTAATTTTTAGAAACAATAGATTTTGTTGGATATTTAACAACACCTATTTAGGTCATCAACCTAACCTAGATATACTCAGTGTGTCAAATAATTAAAAATTGTAAATTACATTAAACCAAAACTACTAAGTTATTGTAATCTTTCACTTTCTATTTTTTATATATATACATACACACACCCTGTCATCATGATTTTACTATTTTAATATTCATGGTTTAATGTAAATTTTCAAAATTCATCCTATTGTATGTTTTACAAATACTTTAAACTGTATCGTACAATAATGTTCTCTTTGCAGCAATGTCTCAGGTAGAAGAATGCCAATCCACCCCAACTCTGATAGACACAGGGGTACAACCTCAGGTCAGCTTAACCTCGTTGGGGATCATAGTTGGACACGAGCTGCTCGAGTCCTGTACAAGACTGTCCGTATCTTTAGAGCAAAATGGCCTATTCCAGGTAATTTAGCAGCATTAAAAAAAATCATTTGCTAGCCGCTCTTCTAACCATTACTGCTTTCACTGTAACTAACTGGTACAAACATAAATGGACCGTGGGTGTGACGTAATTTTTTCTAAACAAAACAAAGTTACCATGGCAACGGGGTTGTATAGTTATCAAAAGTGTGGTTAGGTTTTTTTTGCTTTGAATTTGCCGAATTTAACTTATTTTGTTCTATTTGTTGTGCTCTGTGGGTTGTTTCTCTTAATAAAGGTTTCGGTACAGACAGAAATAATTGTAGAATACTTTTAGACCGTAAAAGTACAAAACCAATCTCATTGGTATACCAAATAAGCAACATAATAGTTTTTACAAACCCGAATACTTTTAAAGGATTGATTGATGTGCCTAGCACCAAAATGGCGTAGATACTTACTGCAGTGAACTAAATGCAGGGTCTATTTAGAAAAATGGTGATTATAGTTCATCTGACTGCAAAAAGTAGCACGTATTGTTTTTTGCTTGCTATTTACAGTTTGACGAACAACATGTATTATGTACCTAAATAAAAATAACAAGCAAAAAGTGCCTTTTTTGCAGTTAAATGAGGGTCAATTAATTTTGATGCCTAAAGGTGTACATTTTAACGTACCTCTATTTTCAGTGATGGCACAATTTATGACGGAACAGGTTTTGTGTACTACTACATTTGCGAGATCTTTCTGAGTCTCAAAAAATGGGTTGGAGCTCAGTAAAAGAAATCTTTGATAATTTTATTTTGCATTAGTAAATGTGAGTATTGTAATCTGACCAATCTGGCCATGCTCTGATCATTTGGGTCTCTTGTTTGAGCCTTGTTTAATGGAAGTGACTTTCTCCTTATCTACAGCCACGCCATCCTTGCTGACTAGGTAATTGACTTTATTTTGAAAGATCTAATATTGACAGGTTATTCTTAACCTTGACTTAATCATGTTCTGCAATTTTTACTTTATGATTATTATTCTTTATAAACAGAACCAGAAAAAAATATTTGTAAAGTCGTGAAGTATTGCCAGTATAACAGATGACATGGTAACGTGTTTTGTGTAGAAACAAATACGTGTTACCAACTTTGTTTTGACCTCACGACTATCGCGGTTCATTTACTAGCCCCACGATTCCTTAGTAGTTTACGAATCGGGCACTAGCCCAACTGATGTAACAGATGCAATCGATTTTATTGTAATTCTGTTTTTTAGGGTAACACGTCTCGTTCGTTAAGCACGAGCCAATCATCGAAATTAAGCCAAAACCACTCAGGACTGAAGATGACTTTAGACGAGCTGAAAGCCGTTAACAAATATGCCGAGAGTACAAGAAGTTTAAGTTATTTATTGCAAGTAAGCGACATATTTGTCTAACTAGTAATTATATTTTCTTAAATTTGTAACAGCAATAAAGTCGTGCTTATTGGTGTGTCTACAGCATGTGGATCCATCTGAATTTAACGGGCAAACATAGAAAAGACTGTCAGTCAAAACGTAACAACAAAAATGGTTCTCTAAATAAAAGAATCTGCATCTTGATGTACATTCAGTCAACCCTGCAAAATGAAGTGATTTCTGACATAGTAAATTCTTGGCAGCACACAAGAGAGAAATATAATTGGATTGTTGTCAAACAATCAGATAGATAAGTTTCTTGAAACTGCGCAAATGACCCAAAACGAAAAGGGAGCCACTTAATGTTTTTGTTAAATTTTATCTACTTAAACATAGATTACAACAAAAACTACTACATTTTTAAAGGAATCCAATAAATGGCATGTAATGAGCAGTATAGCAGTACACAATTTATAATAGGACTACAGTGACTGTTTTTGCTTGCTATTGGAAGTAGATCGCTTTTGCATGGAAGATATTAAAACTTCTGGAAAATGAGTTGAAGAACACTTTTAATTTTTGACACAAAACCTGTACGCCATTTTTTACCGACATACATGTTATGGTATTAATTGGATTCAGTGTTGGTACAAAAGAAACTGCTTAAAAGTCTCAAAATGCTAACTTTGGTGTACCACTAAAGAACATCCTTAACTTCATGAAGAGTACTAATCTGTTGGTGTAAAAGATGAACAATGTGCCAAGAGTTTCGGTACTAATGGACTCTGAAATACACCTTGAAATAAAAAAGGTACGGATCAGTCGCCAAAATTCTTTTTCATGTAACCTCTTTAGAAAAATGAGAGTTATTAGCATAAAACTTCTATAAAAAATTAATAGTAAATATTGCGAGGACGCCTTTTTCTTAAAAATACTTTTTGTAACAAAACTTACATTTTAGGCTTTATACCGCCTGAAACCCCATTAAGGTAAAAAAAAAATGTATATATTAAGGGTTTGCGGATCATTACACGTTCACGCCGACGTGTACCACAGCGAATCTCACTGATAGTTGTTGTGTACCACTAATGGTACACCAGCATATAAATATTACATGACTTTTAAATATGTGCGTTTCTAAAAGAAAGCTTTGATATTTGTGTACATAAGGTACATGCAAGGAAAGGCTTTAATAAACAAACTTGAATTTTGTATGATTAATGTCTTTATTTACCGTAAACACATAATAACTAAATTTAATTGAAAAAAAAAATCGTTCTATACACCCTAATTCCCCGTCGCCGTGAACGTGTTAAGTGATCATTTATGTAAGCTTATTTATTAGAATTTAGATTTATATCTGTCATGCTTTGACAATACAAATATGCGCGGTGTTGCCAAGTGTCAAATTTAAATCAACGAAAAAAGAAATATCAAAATTATTTAATTTTGACTTAACATTTCCATACACTTTAAAAAACACTTCTATTAATTTATTTCCAGTCTTATCCGACGATTTATTTATCCATTTTGATTGAATTGTTGTAGCACATAAGTAATGAACAATGTAATTTTCGAAAACTTTTAAACATAATTACTTTGTTTTAATTTTTTTTTTGAACCAAGTGAATTTATTTGTTTGACAAATGACACCTACCAGTCAAATTTAAAGAATACTATCAACAAGAGGATAGCTGAATTAGTTCAATTTGTGCTGGGTTAACTGTGACGTCACTCGTTGGATACTTGTTAAAGTCATTCCATGTACTTCGATACATCTTTTAAATGAAGACGTTTACTATTTTTTCACTAAGAGATAACCTACACCATAAAAACACGCTCATCCTCCCACGTCCTAACTACCCTAGAAGCAAGTCCTCTATCACGTGATAGAAAATTCACATCTTAGATGCATCCGATGTGGATATTCAAACGCGGCATATAAGAGCACAGAACGCTCGTCCCACCCACTTCCTAATCTGGGCGCGTTCTTTTTCCATCTACACCATAAGAGCATACTACGCTCGTCCCACATGCTTTCTGAAAAGTACAGAAGATAGACAGATGTGAAAAGGATGTGTTCGTTTCGCTTGCTCTTTCCTGTACTTGTCAGGACACAATTTTTAGATGTGTTTAATTATATCTTTGGGTCAAAATGATTTTTTGAATATCTGAAATACTTTTTATTATAAAAATAAAAAATGTTCAACATCATAATTTAAAAAAAAGGTGTTATCGATGTACATTTTAAATAGAATGACTTTAAAAGTATCCACCGAGTGACGTCACAGTGAACCCAGCACATATTGAGCTAATTCAGCTATCCTCTTGTTGATAGTTGTCTTTAAATATAGCTCTGTGGCGTCATTTGTCAAGCAAATAAATTCACTTGTTTCAAAAAAGTTTTAAAAACTTTTTGAATGTGACTGGAAATAAATTAATAGAAGTGCTTTTTAAAGGGTGTGGAAATGTTATGTTAAAAATAAAGTATTTTTTATTTTTTCGTCGATTTTAATTGGACACTTGGCAACACCGCGCATATTTGTATTGACAGCATGGCAGATATAATTCTAAATTCTAATGCATAAGTTTACACAAATGATCACTTATTGTTCATCATAGGCCCTTAATATATAAATAAATAAATAAATAAAAAAAAAAACGTTAATTTATAGGGTTCCCGATGGTATTATTTGAAAAATACTCTCCTACCTATAGCCTAAATGTAAGTTTTGTAAAAAACTGTATTTTTAAGGCGCAATATTTACCAAATTAATTAATATTGGCTGTATTTATCTACTAAACAATTAGTGCCTAGGTTTGAAGGTAGAAGCAATTATAAATTTTATTACGATGCTTCTAGATTTGTAATAATTATGATTCGTTAAATAATATTGTCTTTATAACCCCAATTATCTTTGAACTAAAACTGAATCTGGTTTATTTTCTATTTTTGTGTATACTTTTTAATATTTATTTTTCTCTATTAAATGCTTCTATTTGTTAATAACATTTTCAATGGTTCTTTTTCTTTCTAATAACTATCTTTAATTTGATGTTAATAGTTATTTGTGTACTAAGGCCGTAAATATGATCTATTTTGGACAAATCAGAAAATTGCAGCCGCGGCGAAGTCTTGGCCAAGCAACTTCCAGAAAAGATCATACTGATGAAGTGCACACAAGATTTTTTAGGCTACTGTCTCATTAAGGCCAATATTTTTTACAATATTGTTTTTAAAAATGACACTGTAGAAATGTTAAAAAATTCGTAGTGTCATTTTTTATGAGTCACCTAAAACATTATTTTATTAGTACTTTTGGTAACTTGGTACCTATTTATTGGAGTTATTTTGCTTTTCGTTCAAAAAATTACAATTATATTTTAAAATAAAGCCTAATAATGGAGTAATTAGTAAATGCCAAATAGAAATTGTTTATTTATACAGTTTTGATAGCCATGAATTTACAAAATGCTTAAGGCACTATTTTGAAAAACATCTATCAATAGTTTTCATAACAATAATTAATTTGTTTTTCGTAGATACAATAAAATTCCATTAACAACCTCATTATATAATATAAAAAAATACATTTTCTATTATAGGTGCATGAAAGGCAAACGGAGAGAATGAAAACAAGATCCCAATGGTTCTTGGGACCATCTGTAGACTGCGCGGGCTGTCGGAATTCATTTGACTTCCCACTCAACGAAATGGACGTTTCCGCCCTTACTAATGCGTTTTTAAGAAAATCGTCTTCAGGGACCATAGGTGAGAACACAAAATTTTTATTTGTACAGACCACTATTTTATGAATTGGCCCCAGAGATAACAGGAGATGCAGGTATTCATTGATAAAATGAATATTCATGATGCCAACATCAATATGCTCCACTTGTAGGTCCGAAGTGAAGAGACGTGTGGTGAGAGGGGTTAAATAGAAGGATTTTGCGACGATACAATTTGTGTAAGCCAGTGCAAGCCCTGTTAAGTACATCCAACTTAATATTAACTCTAGGTTTTGGAATTTATTGTAAATTGTTAAATCTTATTTAGTCAAATGACCTATAATAATGATTAAACATTTTTTGGGTTTAGTTCCAATAAAATAGTTTAAATTATTTTAGTTTTTTCCCTGCAACACTATATTTATTTGTAGTTACATCTCCTGTTATCTCTGATCGACCCATTAACGTCCGATATACGTGCGTCCTTTTATTAATCTATACGCCATTACGCCAAAGAGGGTTTATCACTAATTTAGCGTATTGTAACAACATTGCAGAATTGACAAGTTTGGAGGGAAATCCCCTGTTTATTTATTTACGGGCAAGCCCATTTCAATTACAAATTACCATTATAAAAATTAATTAAAATATCACAAATAGTTATGGTGCTGTTGCACAAAGCCATCATACATGTCATGCAAACTAGAAACATTTAAAATAATAAAATAATAACATAGGTTAGTCGAAGGTTAAAATAGAGAAAACACACAGTAAAACATTAACATTAAAGCTCAGTATTATGTAATTAAGTTTTGAATGATGAAAATGGCAGCCTGAGATCATTGTGCAAGTTAGCTAATCCAAGCATTCTTGGAATGCAGCTGTTAAAAGCCTGGTTTGATCTATAAAAAGGTACATAAAATGTTTGCAGTTGCCTAGTTAAACGAGTTTGAACAAGAAGATTTATTTTTTCAAGAAGTTCAGGACAATTCTACTATTTATAATATTATAAATTTATAAAATTATTATTGAATCCTATGTCAAATTCAATGACGGAATGTTTATTTTTGTTATAAGTTACCTGTCATTGAAATAAAAATCCACATACTTTGATTACTATACGGGGCAAGAGAGAGGTCCGACACGCCCAACATAGGGCGCGGCCATTTTGAACCCTGTGACACAGTTTACAGCTAAAGAATCAGATCGCTCACTCTGCTTCGGCACTTTTTATCTTAATGTTCCAGTTTATACACTGCGCAACTCAGATAATACAATATTTAACAACCGCCTATAATAAAATAGCAGTCTTCTGCGTATCCTGAATTTGCATCCCTGGAGTGGATGTTATTTTGGAACTTTCAACTGGTCCGAGTGAGTTAACTGATTCTTTAGCAATAAACTGTGACTCCAAAAATAATATTCACTGACACTGACAGCAGCAAGCAAAATATCAGGTGCGTTTTAATCATCCGCTTCTGCTTCCGGAATTGTCGGTTCAGTCGTTCTAACCTGTCAGATTAAAACAAGAAAACCGACAATTCCGAAGCAGATGCGGATGATTAAAACGCATCTATTAAAAATATTGCGCCAAGATGTAGGCAACACGTAATAAGGGTTCAAAATGGCGGAGTTTTTTTATCTCCTTTTAAAAGGCACTCAGAAAGCTGCGCAGTGCTACCATTCTCCGTATAGTAAAAGAAAATCAAAGTATGTGTAAAAATCTGATGTGTCCAACACATGACTTTCCTATATAGTTATTATAGGCTTTTTCCGGTTATTGTGTACAACCTATTGCAGCACCTCTATAAATGTTTAGAGGATAAACTAAATATATACATTTGTGTGTGTTGTGTGTGTATGTATGTGGTGTGTGTGTATGTATGTGGTGTGTGTGTATGTATGTGGTGTGTGTGTATGTATGTGGTGTGTGTGTGTGTGTATGTATGTGGTGTGTGTGTGTATGTATGTGGTGTGTGTGTATGTATGTGGTGTGTGTGTAGTGTGTGGTGTGTGTTGTGTGTGTAGTGTGTGGTGTCTGTGTGTGTGTGTGTGTGTAGTGTGTGTGTGTGCGGTGTGTGTGTGTGCGGTGTGTGTGTGTGCGTGTGTGTGTGCGTGTGTGTATTGTGTGTGGTGTGTATGTGTGTGGTGTGTATGTGTGTGGTGTGTATGTGTGTGGTGTGTGTGTGTCTATGTAGTGTGTTGTTCCTGCATCTCCATTTTATTTCGATGGATTACATTCACATACTTACCAACTGTGTTTTCACTGTCAGTAATTCTCTTATTTTTTTAAGTTGGTATTGCCGGTCTGTCCATTAGCGCCGAATCTGTCCAGAAGAGACCAAGTGTCAAACGAACTAATTCCAGAGATAAAAGGCTACTCCATAGATCGACTAGTAGGCGTAACAAGGAGAACAACCCTCGCCCGAATAGTCAAAAGGACTTTTGAAATGTATAATTCCATAAAGAAAAAATTATTAAATTATTTGTATTAAATGGTATATGTGTGGTTTATGGGATGACATAGAATTTTAAGATTTTTTATGTATATATTATATATTTAAAGAAATATATGGAAAAAATGTCTGAACTGTATTATCTGGTGTTTTTTTAAAGCCAGTGTAAATATCTGTGATATTAGATTTAAAAAACATTGATGTATTATTTATAATGTATATCTTAAAACCTTTTTTGTTCGATATATTTGTCCTTGTTTTGAGATTCATCTTATACAATAAAACTATATGTACGTAAATGTTTAAAAAAGTTGTTTCAATACCCATCATGATTTCTATTTGTAACAACCCCATAATCTATTTACATATCTCTGTCTAAATCCAATAAAATAGTGGCTTTATTTTTGTATCTTGCTAACAACAAAAATAAATGACACAGTAACTTGATTAAAGAACCAAATTTTGTCATTTTTAAATTACGGGCTGTATCAGTTGCTTTCTAAGGGTTTTTTTTTTCGATTTCCTCAGTTACTAATAACGGGATTATTCTATAAAATTACAAAAACGTAGAGTCGAATGGATAGAATAGAAAGCTCCATGCCGTTTGTCTATATATTAAGCGGTTTCGGATTTATTCAAATTTAAATATCCGTCAATTTTTCGTTACCATTATTTACTAAATAAGTAAATAATGGTAACGAAAAATTTATACAGAAACTTGATTAAGGAACCTAATTTTTTCGCTTGTTTAAAAATACCTCCACGCATTTGTATTACCAAAATTCTATCAACAAAATTTCAACTTTTGATACTCGAATCTTGGTATCAGTATAACATAAAAGCGAGGAGATATGGAAAAGATTTTTTCAGCACTGATCTTTATGAAATTTGACACAGCATCACAGTAAGCGATTTAAAATGACTATCTGGTGTCTGCTTCTATTTATCTAGGATACTTTTTAAGAAATGAGCTCCAACTTTTTAATTAGTCTTGTTAGAGGGGAACAGAGTATCTTTTTGAGATCCCGACGTTCCATTCTATACGTACGTAAATTTTTTTAAACTTTTATCTTCCCAAAAAAAAGGAAAGGGTATAGCCTTCCAAATTTTTTGAGAAAAAAATTTTTTGTCTCCGATTCCAATGAAAATTTGGCTACATATCAAAGAGAACAATGCAAATTAAGGAGTGGATTCAGTTGCTTCTTATTGACAAGGGTTTTATTTTTTTTTTAATTTCCTTAGTTATTAATAATCGAATCGTTCTCTAAACTTGCTCAAAACGTAGAGCCGAATGGATATAATAGAGTGCTCTTTGTAGTGCGTCTCTATTTTAAGCCGTTTAGGAGATATTTAAGTTTGTATATCCGTCGATTTTGCGTTACCCTGAATGGCAATGACAATTTGATGAAGAAACTTAATTTTGCGTTACCCTGAATTTTATAGTAATTTGATTGAGGAACTTAAATATCTCATCGCTCTTCTGCTATCCTGATACCAAAATTTTGTCAACGAAATTGCAACTTTTAGTAGTTTGAAACGGAAACCGAGTAAGTATGGAAAAATGTTATTTATGCTCTGATCTTTATGAAATTCGGCACTACGTTACAGTAAACGATTTATAATGTCTTGCTGGTGTCTGCGTCTCTCTATGTTGGATACTTTTTAAGAAATGAGCTCCAACTTTTTAATTAGTCTTGTTAGAGGGGAACAGAGTATCTTTTTGAGATCCTGACGTTCCATTCTATACGTACGTAAATTTTTTTAAACTTTTATCTTCCCAAAAAAAGGAAAGATGAAGAAACTTAATTTTGCGTTACCCTGAATTTTATAGTAATTTGATTGAGGAACTTAAATATCTCTCGCTCTTCTGCTATCCTGATACCAAAATTTTGTCAACGAAATTGCAACTTTTAGTAGTTTGAAACGGAAACCGAGTAAGTATGGAAAAATGTTATTTATGCTCCGATCTTCATGAAATTCGGCACTACGTTACAGTAAACGATTTATAATGTCTTGCTGGTGTCTGCGTCTCTCTATGTTGGATACTTTTTAAAAAATGAGCTCCAACTTTTTAATTAGTCTTGTTAGAGGGGAACATAGTATCTTTTTGAGATCCCGACGTTCCATTCTATACGTACGTAATTTTTTTTAAACTTTTATCTTCCCAAAAAAAAGGAAAGGGTATAGCCTTCCAAATTTTTTGAGAAAAAAATTTTTTGTCTCCGATTCCAATGAAAATTTGGCTACATATCAAAGAGAACAATGCAAATTAAGGAGTGGATTCAGTTGCTTCTTATTGACAAGGGTTTTATTTTTTTTAATTTTCCTCAGTTATTAATAATCGAATCGTTCTCTAAACTTGCTCAAAACGTAGAGCCGAACGGATATAATAGAGTGCTCTTTGTAGTGCGTCTCTATTTTAAGCCGTTTAGGAGATATTTAAGTTTGTATATCCGTCGATTTTGCGTTACCCTGAATGGCAATGACAATTTGATGAAGAAACTTAATTTTGCGTTACCCTGAATTTTATAGTAATTTGATTGAGGAACTTAAATATCTCATCGCTCTTCTGCTATCCTGATACCAAAATTTTGTCAACGAAATTGCAACTTTTAGTAGTTTGAAACGGAAACCGAGTAAGTATGGAAAAATGTTATTTCTGCTCTGATCTTTATGAAATTCGGCACTACGTTACAGTAAACGATTTATAATGTCTTGCTGGTGTCTGCGTCTCTCTATGTTGGATACTTTTTAAGAAATGAGCTCCAACTTTTTAATTAGTCTTGTTAGAGGGGAACATAGTATCTTTTTGAGATCCCGACGTTCCATTCTATACGTACGTAAATTTTTTTAAACTTTTATCTTCCCAAAAAAAAGGAAAGGGTATAGCCTTCCAAATTTTTTGAGAAAAAAATTTTTTGTCTCCGATTCCAATGAAAATTTGGCTACATATCAAAGAGAACAATGCAAATTAAGGAGTGGATTCAGTTGCTTCTTATTGACAAGGGTTTTATTTTTTTTTTAATTTCCTTAGTTATTAATAATCGAATCGTTCTCTAAACTTGCTCAAAACGTAGAGCCGAACGGATATAATAGAGTGCTCTTTGTAGTGCGTCTCTATTTTAAGCCGTTTAGGAGATATTTAAGTTTGTATATCCGTCGATTTTGCGTTACCCTGAATGGCAATGACAATTTGATGAAGAAACTTAATTTTGCGTTACCCTGAATTTTATAGTAATTTGATTGAGGAACTTAAATATCTCATCGCTCTTCTGCTATCCTGATACCAAAATTTTGTCAACGAAATTGCAACTTTTAGTAGTTTGAAACGGAAACCGAGTAAGTATGGAAAAATGTTATTTATGCTCCGATCTTCATGAAATTCGGCACTACGTTACAGTAAACGATTTATAATGTCTTGCTGGTGTCTGCGTCTCTCTATGTTGGATACTTTTTAAGAAATGAGCTCCAACTTTTTAATTAGTCTTGTTAGAGGGGAACAGAGTATCTTTTTGAGATCCTGACGTTCCATTCTATACGTACGTAAATTTTTTTAAACTTTTATCTTCCCAAAAAAAGGAAAGATGAAGAAACTTAATTTTGCGTTACCCTGAATTTTATAGTAATTTGATTGAGGAACTTAAATATCTCTCGCTCTTCTGCTATCCTGATACCAAAATTTTGTCAACGAAATTGCAACTTTTAGTAGTTTGAAACGGAAACCGAGTAAGTATGGAAAAATGTTATTTATGCTCCGATCTTCATGAAATTCGGCACTACGTTACAGTAAACGATTTATAATGTCTTGCTGGTGTCTGCGTCTCTCTATGTTGGATACTTTTTAAAAAATGAGCTCCAACTTTTTAATTAGTCTTGTTAGAGGGGAACATAGTATCTTTTTGAGATCCCGACGTTCCATTCTATACGTACGTAATTTTTTTTAAACTTTTATCTTCCCAAAAAAAAGGAAAGGGTATAGCCTTCCAAATTTTTTGAGAAAAAAATTTTTTGTCTCCGATTCCAATGAAAATTTGGCTACATATCAAAGAGAACAATGCAAATTAAGGAGTGGATTCAGTTGCTTCTTATTGACAAGGGTTTTATTTTTTTTAATTTTCCTCAGTTATTAATAATCGAATCGTTCTCTAAACTTGCTCAAAACGTAGAGCCGAACGGATATAATAGAGTGCTCTTTGTAGTGCGTCTCTATTTTAAGCCGTTTAGGAGATATTTAAGTTTGTATATCCGTCGATTTTGCGTTACCCTGAATGGCAATGACAATTTGATGAAGAAACTTAATTTTGCGTTACCCTGAATTTTATAGTAATTTGATTGAGGAACTTAAATATCTCATCGCTCTTCTGCTATCCTGATACCAAAATTTTGTCAACGAAATTGCAACTTTTAGTAGTTTGAAACGGAAACCGAGTAAGTATGGAAAAATGTTATTTCTGCTCTGATCTTTATGAAATTCGGCACTACGTTACAGTAAACGATTTATAATGTCTTGCTGGTGTCTGCGTCTCTCTATGTTGGATACTTTTTAAGAAATGAGCTCCAACTTTTTAATTAGTCTTGTTAGAGGGGAACATAGTATCTTTTTGAGATCCCGACGTTCCATTCTATACGTACGTAAATTTTTTTAAACTTTTATCTTCCCAAAAAAAAGGAAAGGGTATAGCCTTCCAAATTTTTTGAGAAAAAAATTTTTTGTCTCCGATTCCAATGAAAATTTGGCTACATATCAAAGAGAACAATGCAAATTAAGGAGTGGATTCAGTTGCTTCTTATTGACAAGGGTTTTATTTTTTTTTTAATTTCCTTAGTTATTAATAATCGAATCGTTCTCTAAACTTGCTCAAAACGTAGAGCCGAACGGATATAATAGAGTGCTCTTTGTAGTGCGTCTCTATTTTAAGCCGTTTAGGAGATATTTAAGTTTGTATATCCGTCGATTTTGCGTTACCCTGAATGGCAATGACAATTTGATGAAGAAACTTAATTTTGCGTTACCCTGAATTTTATAGTAATTTGATTGAGGAACTTAAATATCTCATCGCTCTTCTGCTATCCTGATACCAAAATTTTGTCAACGAAATTGCAACTTTTAGTAGTTTGAAACGGAAACCGAGTAAGTATGGAAAAATGTTATTTATGCTCCGATCTTCATGAAATTCGGCACTACGTTACAGTAAACGATTTATAATGTCTTGCTGGTGTCTGCGTCTCTCTATGTTGGATACTTTTTAAGAAATGAGCTCCAACTTTTTAATTAGTCTTGTTAGAGGGGAACAGAGTATCTTTTTGAGATCCTGACGTTCCATTCTATACGTACGTAAATTTTTTTAAACTTTTATCTTCCCAAAAAAAAGGAAAGGGTATAGCCTTCCAAATTTTTTGAGAAAAAAATTTTTTGTCTCCGATTCCAATGAAAATTTGGCTACATATCAAAGAGAACAATGCAAATTAAGGAGTGGATTCAGTTGCTTCTTATTGACAAGGGTTTTATTTTTTTTAATTTTCCTCAGTTATTAATAATCGAATCGTTCTCTAAACTTGCTCAAAACGTAGAGCCGAACGGATATAATAGAGTGCTCTTTGTAGTGCGTCTCTATTTTAAGCCGTTTAGGAGATATTTAAGTTTGTATATCCGTCGATTTTGCGTTACCCTGAATGGCAATGACAATTTGATGAAGAAACTTAATTTTGCGTTACCCTGAATTTTATAGTAATTTGATTGAGGAACTTAAATATCTCATCGCTCTTCTGCTATCCTGATACCAAAATTTTGTCAACGAAATTGCAACTTTTAGTAGTTTGAAACGGAAACCGAGTAAGTATGGAAAAATGTTATTTCTGCTCTGATCTTTATGAAATTCGGCACTACGTTACAGTAAACGATTTATAATGTCTTGCTGGTGTCTGCGTCTCTCTATGTTGGATACTTTTTAAGAAATGAGCTCCAACTTTTTAATTAGTCTTGTTAGAGGGGAACATAGTATCTTTTTGAGATCCCGACGTTCCATTCTATACGTACGTAAATTTTTTTAAACTTTTATCTTCCCAAAAAAAAGGAAAGGGTATAGCCTTCCAAATTTTTTGAGAAAAAAATTTTTTGTCTCCGATTCCAATGAAAATTTGGCTACATATCAAAGAGAACAATGCAAATTAAGGAGTGGATTCAGTTGCTTCTTATTGACAAGGGTTTTATTTTTTTTTAATTTTCCTCAGTTATTAATAATCGAATCGTTCTCTAAACTTGCTCAAAACGTAGAGCCGAACGGATATAATAGAGTGCTCTTTGTAGTGCGTCTCTATTTTAAGCCGTTTAGGAGATATTTAAGTTTGTATATCCGTCGATTTTGCGTTACCCTGAATGGCAATGACAATTTGATGAAGAAACTTAATTTTGCGTTACCCTGAATTTTATAGTAATTTGATTGAGGAACTTAAATATCTCATCGCTCTTCTGCTATCCTGATACCAAAATTTTGTCAACGAAATTGCAACTTTTAGTAGTTTGAAACGGAAACCGAGTAAGTATGGAAAAATGTTATTTCTGCTCTGATCTTTATGAAATTCGGCACTACGTTACAGTAAACGATTTATAATGTCTTGCTGGTGTCTGCGTCTCTCTATGTTGGATACTTTTTAAGAAATGAGCTCCAACTTTTTAATTAGTCTTGTTAGAGGGGAACATAGTATCTTTTTGAGATCCCGACGTTCCATTCTATACGTACGTAAATTTTTTTAAACTTTTATCTTCCCAAAAAAAAGGAAAGGGTATAGCCTTCCAAATTTTTTGAGAAAAAAATTTTTTGTCTCCGATTCCAATGAAAATTTGGCTACATATCAAAGAGAACAATGCAAATTAAGGAGTGGATTCAGTTGCTTCTTATTGACAAGGGTTTTATTTTTTTTTAATTTTCCTCAGTTATTAATAATCGAATCGTTCTCTAAACTTGCTCAAAACGTAGAGCCGAACGGATATAATAGAGTGCTCTTTGTAGTGCGTCTCTATTTTAAGCCGTTTAGGAGATATTTAAGTTTGTATATCCGTCGATTTTGCGTTACCCTGAATGGCAATGACAATTTGATGAAGAAACTTAATTTTGCGTTACCCTGAATTTTATAGTAATTTGATTGAGGAACTTAAATATCTCATCGCTCTTCTGCTATCCTGATACCAAAATTTTGTCAACGAAATTGCAACTTTTAGTAGTTTGAAACGGAAACCGAGTAAGTATGGAAAAATGTTATTTATGCTCCGATCTTCATGAAATTCGGCACTACGTTACAGTAAACGATTTATAATGTCTTGCTGGTGTCTGCGTCTCTCTATGTTGGATACTTTTTAAGAAATGAGCTCCAACTTTTTAATTAGTCTTGTTAGAGGGGAACATAGTATCTTTTTGAGATCCCGACGTTCCATTCTATACGTACGTAAATTTTTTTAAACTTTTATCTTCCCAAAAAAAAGGAAAGGGTATAGCCTTCCAAATTTTTTGAGAAAAAAATTTTTTGTCTCCGATTCCAATGGAAATTTGGCTACATATCAAAGAGAACAATGCAAATTAAGGAGTGGATTCAGTTGCTTCTTATTGACAAGGGTTTTATTTTTTTTTTAATTTCCTTAGTTATTAATAATCGAATCGTTCTCTAAACTTGCTCAAAACGTAGAGCCGAATGGATATAATAGAGTGCTCTTTGTAGTGCGTCTCTATTTTAAGCCGTTTAGGAGATATTTAAGTTTGTATATCCGTCGATTTTGCGTTACCCTGAATGGCAATGATAATTTGATGAAGAAACTTAATTTTGCGTTACCCTGAATTTTATAGTAATTTGAGGAACTTAAATATCTCCTCGCTCTTCTGCTATCCTGATACCAAAATTTTGCAGAAAATAACTCAAAGTGAGGCAGTTTTAGACAGTTTGTGGTTAGATTTTAAATGATTTTCGGGCATCTTTAAGGATATTTTTGTTTGTGGCGATATTTAAAGTAAAACCATAATGATATTTTGCATCTATTAAACCAAAAATGTAATTTTCTTTGTTTTTTGACTTGTGGCGGTTTTTGATAGAGCCATCCATCGATATTAGCATTTGTTACTCGTAATAGGGTACAAAAAAGGTCAATTTAACAGTATTAAATAATATATTTTTTTTATCTAGTGTCAAATATAAAATTGCACATATTTTTTACACCTTAATCTCAACAAAATCTTCGACATTCTATGTCATGAGTCGTACCCCCCTCTAGGAGACGCCACAGGCGACGGCGGAGGAGGCAAAGGGCTGAAATAAGTGGAAGATCGAGAGCTTGGCGACGGAGGGCAACTTTCTTGATGACAGACGGATCTGGGAGTGGGCGGAGGCGGGAACGGACCGGCGTCGTATCTGCCGCGCGTCGGGTAATTGTAGTCGCTTTCGTCGTTAATATCCGTAGAACAGGGTGTCGGCGGAGGCGGTTGGTTGATGGTACGGTAATGGCGGTACGGACGGTACCTGGAGGGGCTGCTACCTAAAATGCAACATAAACAAAAACTGGTCATTCCTAAAAATATTGTTGCAAGGCAAAAGAAATCACTAGAAACAATATCACTGGAAGGAACATGCTCATCTATACAGATAGCAGACAAGCACTACTCAACCTGAACAGACCACGAATTTATTCAGGGTTAGTACTAGAATGTCACGAAGTTTTAGCTGAAGTATCCATCAATAAAGGCCAAACCACATCGAAAGGTAACTGTCTTGCTGGCCAAGAAAGCAGCCAACTAAATACTTTTTGGACCTAATTAAAGAACATTCCCTCGTGAAATTCAAGGAAAGATGGGATGAAACAAGAAATTGCAGAGTTGCCAGGGAGCTTTTAAGTTATCCTGGCAACACTGCAGAATCCGCACTCTGCAGAGGGTGCGAACAAGAAGATGAGACAATCGAGCATATTCCTCTACTAATAAGAGAAGTACCTTTTGGCGACGTTGTCAACTACATCAAATTTGTAGGCTGGCCACGAGCTATCATCCTAGGAGGATGCACAATAGGCCTAAGTACCGTGGGGGGGGGGGGGGGAGGGGTAACCCACCCTCCACACGCTACAGATACAGAAGGCTTAACAGTTTTAAAAAGTATACTAAAATGCTTACCTCTTGTTGAAGCTGCCGTGGTAGCAGGACTGGGCGGAGGGTTAAGCGTTTCGCACGGATATCCAGTGACACTTGAACCGTTAGTATTTGAACTACTCGAAGCACCAGTGACGTGACGACGATCAAACGAAGAAGGGCAACCGCTGTCGTTTAACATCGACATTCTCACGATGTCTGGTATACCTAAAAAAACAACAAAATAAGTTGGTAAGATTCTAAACATTTAAATTGTCAGTAATTTTATTAAATTACCTTTTCGATATTTAAGATTTCCAGCGGCGTTCGGATGTAAAGGATTCAGGGACTCTCCGATTTGATCATTGACGTTCTCATCTCTAGGCGATAATATTTTCCGGAATACGAAGAATGATATGAAGGCGAATACTAATATGCCTGCTAGTACTCCTAGCACTACAGTGGACGTAGATGGTTTCGCAGCTACTCTGCAATCTTTCTCGTCAGATCCGTCAGCGCAATTTTCATTTCCGTCGCAAACTAGCGACGATGGAAGACACACTTCAGTTTGAGGACACTAAAACAATTTCAAATTCTATAGATAACGACTGATTTCAATTATTTTACGATAACCCAAGCTTAATTATTTGGAAATATGTTAATTACTACTCAGAAAAAGATGGTTATCAGTTACAAATTATTAAAAAATACCTGAAAACCGTTTTCGCAACAATTTTTCTCATCGGATCTGTCGCTGCAGTGCGGATAATTGTCACAGTAATTTTTCTTGTCGATACACTGTCCGTTGAGGCAACGGAATTGATCAGGAAGACATTTCGGACAGTCCGCTTCGTCTGAACCGTCGCCGCAATCTTTTTGGCGATCGCATTTCCACGCTATAGGAATACACTCAGTTTTATCCTAAAAAGAAAATGTTTTCTTAATATTGTTGGGTTTTCTACTTACTTTTTTTAATTGGCACACAATGGATCGTGATAGTCATGAAGTCAAAATAAGACATACACATAGTTCAGCTTTGAACAACTTATAAATTTGCCTACTAGAGGGCGCAACGGTCATGAATCTACGCTCGACAAAAAACTAATAACTCTGAATCACCTATTGGTTTGAGTAATCATGTATTTTCTCAAATATATCGAATACATTCCATTTTAGAGAAATTATGCGTAAAATAAAAGTTATAGATCTAAAAGCTCTCGGAATCTATTGAGATTATTATTGCCTCGACAAATTGATATCGAAAACATTCAAAATTTAGATCCAATAAAAATAGTAGACTATCAAGATCTCGCTATATTACCCAAGACTACATCATTCACGATATATAAATTCCGATAAATATCCACCATAAATTTGATTAAACCGATAGCCATGTCATAATCGCATGATGCAACAAATATGTTGTCAAAAACTTAAATAAACTTACCTTCTCCGGCATATTGCAGGTAAACCTGTCATCTCCACAATGCGGCGGCACCAAGCAAGTCCTCCTATCTTCATTCAAAATCTTTCCCTGCGGACAAGCGCAAATCGAAGAAGTGCTATTATGTATACAAAAATGTGAACACTTGTGCGTAGCTCTAGAGCATAGATTTTCCGTGTAATTTTTCACTGAGATCAAGTCGAGTATGTGTGATGCTTGTATTGGCAGTGTCGAACGAGATTTGCCGGAAAGGATTTCGATCCTTTGCAGCTGGTCCAGTTCTTTGTCGATCCAATAAAGGAAGCCCAAATGGACGGCTAATTGGGTTATTATAGAGTTGCTTTCGTTTAGGACCACGTGTCTAAAAATTAAGCAATACTGAACTATAAATCGCAATAGTCAGCAAACAAAAATATATTTTGTACAAAACAAACATATTTTATCTATAAAATCCTCGGTAATATTTCAGGGGTGGCGTAGAAATGTACCAGTAGTCAATTACAAATTTTAAAATTGTTAAAATGTTTTAAAAATAGATAATAGAATTCATCAAAGTCAAAGCCTGTTAATTCGACCACGACAATTGATGACAGTTTAAAAACTATCGGGATTTCAGTATAGTTAAATTACAAATTTGTGTTAAATACTTACTGATTTTCTCCATCGATATTACTAATATGAATCCCATGGCCCTGCGCCCAAACTATTAAATCGTTTTCGGTATCAACAGCAATCGCCGTTATATTATTCGCTTTAGTAATGACAATTCTATGAGAACCATCTAATCTTGCTCTAACTAACTGAGGAGTTTTACCGACATCTGTATAAAATAGCAACCTAAAAACGAGGATAAAATCATGTCAAAACGTGCCAATACAATATACAATGTTTATATTCTCTAATCCTAGATTTAACTTTTTAATTCTAACAAGTCGTAACCCACAATTTCAATTTTTACGAATTCACGTTATTACATTTAATCAATAGAAAAAGATGGACACTATTCCAAATAAAAGTCCCAACCTGAATGATACTCTTTGTGATTTACGAGGTGTTAGATTAAAGCCATCAAATATAAAAAAAATGTTTACCTTTTATCTACATGCAGCGCGATAAGCCGAGGTTTCTCGCCTTCGCGTTTTTCCAAATTTCCGAATAAATTTTGATTTTCTAAATGCGTCACATTGATGACGTCGTTAATTTCGCAAGTCCAAAATAGTAGTCTACCGACGGGATCTAGCGCGAGATCGAAAGGTTGTAATTCTTTATGGCTCGACACCACCGTCGTATCAGTCTTTTGTTTTCCCATCTCCATTTTTTGTTCGGTCGCTTCCGATTTTTTTATAGAACGTGCTTTACTGTCGATCTGAAAACAAGGCGACACAAGGTGTTTTTGAACATATTACATATTAAAACTACATCCATTAAAATAAAAACGTTTTGGCAATATTCTTAATATAACAGATCCACTAGACAGGTGTAACTTGACTTAGATAATTTCAAACTACTCTACCTCGACATGACCACGACGTACCTCCATTTTAAAGCAGATATATTTTCTTATCAAGGACCCAATTATTAATAATAAGTGTACGCCTCTGTGGTTTATACACGCGAGTTACGATTCCCGAACTTATCAACAAGAAAAAATATATGTCAATGAAGCAAGTTTTATCTTTATCTTATAAAAAGTTGTTGCTTTCAGACTTTCACAGAGTAAAGTTGTTTTATTTTAATATTTTGTAGAAAACTATTGTTGAAAACTTCTTAATTATATAACCAGTTTTTTTTTTAATTATACAGTCCACTTTAATTTATCTTGCAGACATAAACAAATATTTGTGCAGATTAGAGAAAACTTCAAATATTAACCAGTTTTAATATGTACAATGTACAAGTAGTTCAAATGCATCTACTCACCCAATATAAATAATTTGTTCTTTGGTCGTACTCGATTGCTTTGACAGCTTTTAAACCCTGAATGGGCAAAACCGCTTCTGGACAATCTGAGGTGTCTGGAACTAATCTAACAACTAAATTTCTTAAGCTGTATATCATAAAATTAATAGGAGCTAAAAAGAAAAGAAAAATTTAAATATTAAATTAAAGAGTATGATTTTTTTCTGGTCCACAATTTTTTGTTGTCCTAAATTCTGACAAGTAGTAAGTTGATTTTGTTTTATAACCAACGATCCACAACTACTAGACTAATCATTTTAATTACTTACAAATATTAAATTCGTGTTTTGTTAGAAAGATAGCTGTCGTATTAGAAAGAGCGAGACGCCCACTAAATTGAGTTGAGATGGTGTTTGTGAATACGCATTATATAAATGATTATAACCACAATCCTGTAACAATTTGGATGGCAACATGACTGCTTCCAATTTTCCCCTTTTCTTTAACAAAATTGGTCTAGCAATTGTTCGTCGTTATTCATAACCAATTTCGAGTTTTAATTTTTTTTTTTCTTATTTTGTATTCGGTGTAAATATTAAATCAACAAAATGCTACTTACGTATACATTCCTTCTGATTCAAAGTATAATGATTCGGACAAGCACAAGTGTACCCTGCTTGTTCTTCAGATACTTTTGATGGCAAGGCGAGACATAGATGCGAACAACCACCATTACTAGTCGCACATTGATTCGTGTGTCTCGATTTATATTGATAGTGGACTAATAGATCGGTAACGGCATCTAGTTTGTGAACTTTTACCCTGTTCGATCCGTCCGCTTTATTTGCACGAAAAACTTCACCTAAAAGGACCATTTAATGATTACAGCTGTTTTATTTCATTAATGATATAATCTATTGAATACAACAGTTGGTATGAGGACTATCTAATACAATTATCGATGTTGTTATATGAAAATACTGTCAGTAAAGTTCAGAAAAAAACCCTTATTTACCGGTTTTGTTATCGCTCCAATAAATAAAATCTTTATACAAAGTCAAACCCACAGGCTCGACGATATCGTCTCTTACAACTATTTTGGGATCGTTTCCGTTGAGATCTGAAGACACAATCGCTGGTGTGTCTTTTTCCGTCCAATACAGTCTTTTCTTTTCGTAGTCTAGCGTAAGGCTACTAGCGGGGTTTTCGGTAGCTACCATTTTCGATTGGTTTTTGCCGTCCATAGATGCCTTTTTGATCGAGTTTGTCGATCCCCATTCCGACCAATAAATATATCTAAAATATTTCGATAAAAATATGAATTGAACATTTTATGAATCGTTGATTACACATACCCTTCTCCAGGATCCACTACAATACTATGCGGTTCATATGCTTCGTTCCACAATAAAGTGCGTCGGCTTCTTCCCATTAACCTAGAAACTTCTATTCTATGTGATACTGGATCTGTCCAGTAAACATTTAAACCTAGCCAATCTACAGCGATGCCCTCTGGCGAGGTCAGGCCTAAATCGATGACCTTTTGTACATCGGAGCCGTTTAGGAAGGCTCTCATTATTGTGCGTAATTTACTATCACTCCAATATATACGCATTGTGTTCGTGTCAAAATCGATAGCACTGAAAGTTGTTAAAAAATTATGATTGGTAATCATAAAAGCAGAGCTCCATCACCTATTTTTAATTTAATATATTTGGCCACCCTGTATAATCCCTGAACTTTGAGTAGCTATATAAATTTTATTAATAATATACATTCGTTAAATACATATTTTAATTTAAAACCTTTAAAAATATAAGCGAGCCTATTTTTTATACTGTTTGTGATTAACTTGTATAAACATGTTTGTATTTCTTAATATACGGAACTTAAGCATATTTGAATATATAAAATAATTAAAATAACACTTTTAAAACGTTCAAAATGAGACCTATTGAAGAGAATGGGTTATTAAGATCAGTTTTCAGGGTCATCCTGTATAAATAGAAAGCTGGCCTCGTAATTAAGGCATCAAATAAATTATTAGTTACACGTTTACATTTTATATTCTCTAAAATGACGTTTTACTAATCCGATAACGTCCTTAAAGAGTCACTTATTTGAGCTCACCTGTCAAACTCTCAAAAATTTGCCATTAGCAGATTGTCGATTTGACGCCCCGCCCACCCGTTCAGTTCACCCGCCGACTAGAATTCGAGGATTAATCAAGATGCATAAATTGCTGTGAAGTATGTTTGACAGACGAATACACGCAAGTGACACTTCATAAATGCTAAAATATCAATTTTTGGCGGCCAAATAAAGTATTAATTCTCATATTTAGGTAAATATCATAAGGTCCTTTAGTAAGACTATGTAAAGTAAATTATTTAATACGGTTAATAATAATAACAACAACAACAACTTCGTTTTTATTAATAAATTGCACAAGTAGAAATAATTGAAATATAAGATATTATTACACTTAACCTAAAAGTACAATATAGAAATACAAAAATAATTAAACTAGAATAAAATTGATAAAGTTAATTTGCCATTTATTGCTTATTTTTAACCAATTACCAAAGCAACACCTACCTGACATGCTTGATACCAGCAATAGGAACCGTGTCTTCATAATTCTCATTTTCAATTCCTATTCTGCCGATGCTGGTGTTCTTGGAATAAAGCAAGAACGCTTTTGGTTTGACACAAGTAAGACCATCTCTTTTTAACTCGTAATCGATCTGACAAGCACATATCCTTTGTTGGTTGTGCTTGAAAAGGCACAATTGTGAACAGTTTCCATTGTTATTTTTACACGGGTTCCAACCAGAAGCGCCGTTTAAATGGATCGCTTTCAAGCCCATGACGTTTTCCATTTGGTCCACAATCACTTCTCTATCGCTACCTGTAATAATACGGATCAATCTATATATACATTATTCTACTATACGTTCCAAAGATTTACCAGTTTCTTTATTGGCTCTATCAATTGCTCTCCTCTGCCAATCTGTCCAATAAATAAAATCTCCCATTAACGTAAACCCAAACACATGTGGAACATTATCATTGATCAGTTCCCTTCGATTAGTGCCATCTAAGTTAGCATATTCGATTTTATCTAATTTTGCATCGCCCCAGTATATCCTTTTATTTTCAAGATCTAAAGTTATTCCATTTGGCCATCCTAATCGTTCCGATACAATTTGCATTCTTTCTGTCCCATCCAAATCTGAACGTTCGATTTTTGGTTCTTTTTCATTCCAATCGGACCAGAACAACCAGCCTATTTCCGGCGCAACTGCTATACCTATAAGAAATACATAAAGTGAGTATCAACAAATTCTACGAAATGAAATAGCGCCTACCTCTAGGATCATGCAGCTTATCCATAATAATAACCTTCCTAAAACCCCCTTTCAAGGTAGAAATCTCTATCCTATCAGTCCCAGCATCAGTCCAATAAATATTCCTAGCTATCCAGTCTAAAGCTATACCATCTGGATGCTGAATTTCGGTCCAGATGACATTCTGCTGGTCACTACCATCGATCTTGGCTTTCTGAATCTTTTTTTCCTCATCGTCTGACCAATATATATAATTTTCCACTGGATCAAAATCGACAGCTATTGAATACTTTACATCGAGAGGGAGAGCTTTCGAGCTATATTCTGGGGAATCCAAAAATATCAAGCGTATTTCAGGTCTTTTCGCCAATACTAACAGTTCCTGGGGCTTATCATAGCATGTTTTATTATCCATTAGTTTGAAACCCATTGGACAAGCGCAGGTGTATTTTGGTGGATTTTGAGAAAGTAGACACAGATGCGAGCATCCCCCGTTGTTTGTTTGACAAGGACTTGTTATATTTGGTTGGTGTTGAGGGTCGTAAACATGGATGTCCATAGGGTTGTTTTGCACTGGTAGGAGTTCTAAGGGTTGTTTTTGTTGGCCATTGGTGTCATAGTAGTGAATAGACCTGAATAAATGAGTTTAAATGTTTAGCAAAATAACGACTTAGACTAATTCTATTTTAAAATTACCCTGTTTTCCAATCAGTCCAAAATAGTTTAGAATCGAACTGGGTTAAGGCAAACGGATATTCGGACCCTTTTTCCAAAACGGTGCACAAATTTTTACCATCATAGTCCATCTTTTTGATAAATTTCAACCTACCATCAGCCCAATACACAGTATTGGTCTTATAATCAATGGTAAGACCATTTGGCCAAAATATATTATCTGATACGACAACTTTTCTTGAAATTGGATTTCCATCTAAACTGGTCCTTTCTATTTTCGGTAATTCCCCCCAGTCGGTCCAAAATAGGAAACTAAAAATATTAGTCAATTGATTGGAATATTTATGAAGATGAAACTTGGGAGAAGCATCCAGCCAGTCTAAAAGTTATTTTAACAGAGATGGTGGAGAAAATCCATGGTATGGTGATTGTTGTTCCGCCTAGTGGAGTTGTGAGTGACTGTTGAGACATCTCACGTGAATACATAGAGAATATTATTAAATGAATATTTGGGAACGTAAATAGGAGGAATTAACAATAATAAACGCCACCATGTGTCAGCTCCACAGAAGCGTTTGGTGATGTTCAACTGCGATAAGAATTTTAATCGGTTTGGCGCAAAAACGAAGGAATTTGGGGGACAAAAATAGCACTTTTACCAGAACGACGATATAAATTGGTTCCTAGTATTTCATACTCTTCAGATTTGCCCTCCTATTATCTATTTCCAAACTTGTAAAAATGGTTGGGTGTTAAGAGGCAGATTATTTTGAAGGTTCCGAGAAATTAATTTATTTAAAATCCATCAAATAATTGAAGAATCATGTATAGAGCTAAAAGAAAACTGAATATGTTATGCTTAAGCTAACGGTATGTCACGCGCGAAAGAAAATTTTAAGCTTCGCCAATCAGGTCCTACCTTTAATTTCCTTAGCTTCCTGACGCAGACTTCTCTTCTTGGCGCGTCCACCCTAAGCTGCAGGGGTCGTAGACTGTATCAGGGCTGGTATTTGAATATTCGGGAATGTAATTTGCGGGTTTGTATCAAATTATCACAAAGCTTGAATACACGACTGTACTCTACGAAATTTGCGGCGATACTGATTTCGCCCGGTCGAATTTAATACTCTTCTTCGCCACGCGGATGTGGTCTTTTACTAATTAGGACAATACCGTCTTGGCGAAGTATAAGTAATGAGAATAATATATATGTGAAATATTACGTTTCATACTGGATGATAATTTCAATTTAAACTTAACTAAATAAGACTTAACAGAAACAATGTTGAGATTGAGTCACTTTCTTGTCTAGACTGCCCTTATATGGTTCAGCGACGCGTTTTATAAGTAATATTAATGGCGCCCAATAAGAACTAGGTCGTTGGCTGACTGAAAGGTATTTAAAATATTGATAAATGATAAGCAGACCTGAGACCAGTTAACAACTGGATGAGTGACCGAGCTAGATGAGTGACTGAGCTAGATGAGAGGGAAGGAGTTGTGCAACCAAACTGTGATCCAATAAGCCCATGAGGCTGTAGCGACGACATGCTTAAATCACAAAGCAGGAGAAGCAGGCTAGAATTAAAGCCCGATAAGGCCACTAAAGGAGAGCAGAGGGATGTCTGAAAAAAAAAATAATGGCAAAAACAACTAAAATATTGTCGTCTCTCAAAGTCGTAACTTAAGGGTCATGGTTGACATAATATTCCTCTCAAGTTTCATTTACTTTATTTCTGTTGACAAATCCTATTTTGTCTACTACTAGTGAAAACGATAAAAATGAAGGTAACTGTACCAGTAGTTGAAAATGTACTAGTACATGGAATTTTATAATGTTAACTTAAATTATAAGTTTTCTTTAAAATCTTGTTTATTAATTTATGCAACTACGGTTCCAAATGTCACTTGACATATTTAACATTTAGTTACCATTTTCTCTAAATTTTTGAAAAAAAATTACAATAAATGTCTCCAGAAGCTGCAGTAATACACAAGAATACCTTCATGTTTTTAAATTTGTCATTATTTAAATATCTACTACACGAAAAATAAATATTAACTTATGTACTTACTATATCCAGTAGATGGCACCTAAATACTAAAAATTAACAGATTTAAACCAAATGTTGATAAAACAAAATGTAGTGGTTTCTACTCACAATTTAGATTTAAATTTAATATCATTTTGTAGCTAAAAAAATTTGCTCATGTAATTTGTGTGTTCTTGTAAAAATTTTTGTGTTTTAAACTAAGTTCTCTGCATTTGAATGCAAGAACGTAGAGTGAAGAATAAAAAAAATACTGATAAGTAACACAATTCAAACAACTAATCCAGTGGTGTACCGACTTTTGGTATGTTATTTTCTTCAACTATGGCCTAAAATTAGAATGGAGTGTAATTTGTGTAAGCAAATTAAGCAACCTAGCAAGGAATGCAAAAATTCATGCTATCTGTGTGATTCCTGCAGGAATCTAATTTTTTTAGATTGTACAAATCTGTCAGCCTCAGAAAAAAGGATGACTATTAAAATTTTTGTGTATCAAATGTTGAAGTTATGATTTAGTTGATATTCTAAATAACCGTATCAAAGATAAGGACCAAATAATAAAGGACAAAGAAGATATCATTGAACTATTGAAGGCTAAAATTAATTATTATGAAAAATCCCCTATTCTTATGAAGTAACAAAGGGTTCTGTGCAAACACATCAAATAAACTATCCACAAATTATAATTATACCAAGAGTACCTCAAAATTACCAAAAAACCAAGGATCATGTTGAAAAAAATATTAAACCTGAAACATTAAAAGTTGGAGTTAAGAGTATGAAAACTCTTAATTCAGGTGCATTAATTATTAAATGTAATAAACAAGGAATTAATGTCTTAGAAGAAAGTGTCAAAAATAAGCTGATGTGGAGTTTAGTAAGATGAGGAAACCAAAAATAAAAATAGCTAATTTTAACTAGGATAAGAGCAACGAGGACATCAAGAAATGCATTATAAATCAAAATAACCTAGATAAGAAAATAGAAGTTGTATTTATAAAAAAACCGTGCACTGGAAACAAAACAATTATTTGTGAATGTAGTCCAAAAGTTTTTAACCAAATAATGCAAGAAGGTAAAGTTAATATTAGCTGGGACAGATACACAGTGTATGAGGACCTTGACATACCAAGATGCTATCAGTGTCAAGGATATTACCATAATAAACAAAATTGTACAAAAAAATTGTCTGTTCTCTTTGTGCTGAAGAACAACTAAGAGAAAACTCTCCTAAAACTAAAGTGTGTTGTGCTAATTGTAAGAATTCAAACATTAATTTTAAATCCAACTATCCAACTGATCACTACGCCACTGATTCAGAGTGTAATACTCTGAAATATTTCAAACAGGTTCTTAAAAAAAACAACCTATTGTGAAAATTAATTTCTTATCTTTGCTTCCTTTTTTGTTTTAATTTAATCTCAACATTATAATAGTTTTTACTAATTTACCACAATTTAAATAATCTTTCTCTCTTTTATGGAACTAAATATTTTTAATGAAATCGAAAATGAGAATGAATTAAATAAAAATTCTCATTAGGACTTGAACAATTTTTTAAATATTATCAGTTGCAATAATCATTTAACAACCTTAATAAAAATTTTGCATTTGAATATTAGAAGTACAAAAAAAAATTGACAACTTTTTAGTATTTTTAGAAACCTTTGGTTTAAAGGACTTGAATACAATAATATTAGGAGAAACACGTAATGTTATTATTACTTAACAGTAATTTTAATTACATACAGAAATTATATATTATTTAAGTATCTCAGCATAACTTTTTTCAATGTCTGTTAGAAACATTCATATTCTGAATACGCCTCTGTGCAAACACATGCTTGCATGGAAACAACACATTATAAAACAAATATTCGACGTCACGGTGTAAATAGAAGCATGCAAGCAAAATGTTATGATTTTTACTTTATTATAATACCAACTACCAGTACAGTTACCTTAACAAAACAATAAAAAAAAATTATTTTCATGTTTGTATTCTTTATTTTACCCTTCAGATGGAACTAATGCGATCGCTCGTGGTTGATCAATTTCAGACCAAAACAATACTTTTCTGTACTTCCCCTCAATAGTAGCAACTTCTATATAATTAGTTTCACTGTCAGCCCAATATAATTTGTTTGTTACCCAATCACAGGCCAAACCATAAGGAGTGAATACATCGGTAACAATTTCCATCTAAAATATATTAATGAAAAATATAAACAAAAATGTTATTAATATTTAATCAAATACCTTATTGGTAACATTTCCTTTGCCATAATAGTCCACACTGAAAATACTTTCATTGTAATGATCAGCCCAAAATATTTTTTTCTGGGTGTAATGGTAATCAATGGTTGCTATGTAAGAGGTGAAATTTTTGAAATTTTTTGTATTTTTGATGATGACATCTGGCTTGGATCCTCTAGTTGAATTCACCAGGCGAATATCATACATAGTTGAGTATAACAATAGAGGACTTTCATTTCCTGAAAAACATTCAAAACTTAGTGCTAGAGATGTTTGGGTAAACATGTTTCAAACTGTTTGGATTGATGTAAAAAGAATATATTGTAAGAATCTTATAAATAACATACATCTATTAAGTAAAATCAAATTTATTACATGCAAAACTTTATTAAAAAACTACAATATTAATAATTTGTAGTGTTACACAAATACAATATGTTCATTAGTTTCGACTATGTTGGGATCATAAGTTTCACATTCCATTTCATTGCACAAATTATGGTATGCATTCTCCAGTTGAACATACATCACTTTGTACATTCAAAAAACATGTAAAGAGAGCTTAATTTGATTGATACTCTCGCAAATTTAGATTAAAAACTTGTATACATATTTTATGGTATATTTATATTTATTTTTTTAATTTACATTTTCTTTTTGTAATAGACACTTTTATATATTGTATATTTTTGTAATGGGAGTGAACCCATAAATAAATAAGTAAAGTATATGAAGACTGTTAAATTTCTTTCAATTACTTTTCTAGAATTAAAAAAATGAATCGTCAGATAAATAGAAAACCCATGTAGTATCCCAAAATCCAACTCTGAACTGATATCTAAGACATCTATAACATTTGAAATGATGATGGGTGGAAGGTAAGGGATATACCAAGAGAGGGTCAATTTTTATACCCAAAATATCAGCAGCAGGCAGTGTTTTCAGATATAGGTAGTTTGTTTTAATTGGCCTATGTTGGAATACAAGATGATTGTCATTGTCTGATGTATATAGTATTAAATAATCAACTTAATGGATTTACTTTACTATTATTTATCTTTATAATTCAAAGATTAACTGCAAACTTCATCTGATACTTTTTTGTACACCAAATTATGCTTCATATTAAATTGGCTACATTTTGTCTTACTTGAATTAAATGAGAGTATCAAAATTGTCCAATAAAATATAAGAATCGTGACTGGATATAGTTTGTAATAAACCAGTTTAGGTAACTAGATTGAAAAATGCATATCTCCAAGTGCTTGATAAAAATTCGAAAGAAATTACCATAGAAGTAAAAACTCACCTTTGCAAAATGAAAATACAATCAAACAAATAAATGCCGATATCAAAATATAGGAGTATCGAAACATTTGAAGGCACCCTATGGAAATGACATGCTACTTTTTGTTTACATTTTCACATTATCGCTTTTGTAGAAACTTTCGGCTTTCCTTTTCACCCAAACGCGATTTAAAACTAACCGAATAAGTAACTTGAACTTCGATCACCATTGATAAACAAATAATAAAAAAAGTTAAAAACAATTCACCAAACTAGACGCACAACGTACATAAACAAAACAAAAAAGTAATAAATAAGAAAGGAGAAGGGTGAAATGAAATGGTGAAAATCAAAAATAACTAAATAATGTGATGTTGGTAGCACGTAAAATACTATTTTTTAAGGCAGTTTTTAGCGTTTAGTCTTTCAAAAAATTACTTCTAAAACAGAAATAACTATTGATTCTACGTTAAAATTCGTAGATAATAGAGTTTTAGCAAATGTACGTAAGATTTCCGCTAACGTTACGTTAAACTTAGATTGTGACCTTTTTCATAAACATTGAACGGAGTAGATTACATTCTATCCCTAAGGTAACGTTAGCGGATTGTTAGCGGCTGTTTGCTAAAACTCCCTAGGGTCCGGTAAAGGATCCTGAGGTGCGAAATTCACAAAAATTTTTTAAACACTCAAAAGTAACTAGTTTCTATAGTACATTTTCGAAAAAAAATTTATGGATGAAGCAGTACTTTTCGAAAAAAATTGAATTAAAAATCCCAATTTTACAGGTTATAATCACAGAACAATTACTCTAAATGACAGTTTCTGACGTTTCTGTCTTAAAAATAACAAACGTTGCCAAGTTGTTAATAAAATTATAAGTTTAAGGATTATTTAAATTTATAATCATAAATTTTTCGTTTGGTTTAAAAAGATAAGTACGGTAATAATCGTATATAAAATGCAAAAATTAATATATCAACCAAATTAATTTTAAAAATGCAGCTCAAAAATACTACATACAAAATTAAAAAGTGAATTTAATTAAATCACTTAACATGTAATATCTAGACAACTTTTTTTTAAATTTTCTTTCACTCAAAACGAAACAACGACTTCCGCTAGCGTGGCGGCTTCGCCGCCACCAAAAAATTTTAAACCCATACCTGGCTACGCCTACCGGCATAGACTCCAACGGCCTGGACTCCAACGGCCTGGACTCCAACGGCCTGGACACAGCTCAAATTGAAATAAAAAGTCTCTCTCGTGTCTCTATGCTGTACAGCCTGGACTCATTTAAATAAATAAATAAAAAAATTATATAAAATATATTTGCAAAAAATAAACAAAAATTAACAATGATTCTAAAAATAAAAAAAAAAACTAAAAAATAAACAAATAATTCTCATGTAATTAAACCAAAAAATAAATAATTCTAAAAAATAAACAAGTCTCAAAAGTAGTACAACAAATAAATAATTCTAAAAAATAAACAATTAATTTCAAAAATAAAAAAAAATTAATATTTTTCCGCAATTTGCGTTAGCAAATTATTCATTTTCGCATTAGCATCACTACCGTATATCTGCTCCCACATAAACTGATCTATATACTCAGGTAGAAAGGGACTGGACATTACACCTAATCTTCTTAAATATTGCTTAAGTTTAGACCAGTACCCTTCTACCTGATTTGTACAAACACCAGTAACCGGATCCTTAAAAAATTTAGAGTGGTTGACACTTTTATGTATATATCCTAAATTCTTTAAATTATCATAACTTTTAAACTTGTCCGTCCATATTTCAGAACCAGGACGGACATGTGTTTGGATTATTTCCTCCAATACACCTCGAGTTCTATTAGGAATATACTGGATATAACCTCTTTTTAAAGAAATGTCATAAATCCCTAATATCCAGCGTTCCGGTACTACTCTTCCCCTGTGATATTTTCTCTTCGTAATGACAGATTCGTCAATTTGTATTGTGAGCCCCTCGCCCCCTATAAAAACAAAAGTTTATTTTCTCTCTCATTTATATTATAAAAAAAAAATCATTACCTAACAAGAAATCTTGATCTCTCATTACCTTCCATGAAATAACGTCTCTAAAATATCTATACAATTGAATCACTGAGGGTTTAGACAAGTTCGTCGCAGCCACTGTCACTCCAACCCGGCTACCAATGGCCCAGAACCACATGATTAATATAATCATACGTACATTAACATTAATGTTTTCGAAAAAAGAACCCTTAAATATTGAGTAAGTTTTTCTACACTTTTTGCAAAAATATACATAATTAATTGAATTAGAACATCTTTTGTGGATCACACACTCTCTCCTACATGTAGCTATCTTACACCTACATTTTTTAATTAATTTTTTGTCCATTAACCATGATAATAATTCTTCATCCGTTTTTTTGTAAATGTGTCCACAACATCAATAATATTTATTTTATCCATTTTTAACAAATACAAACACAACAAAGTAATAATTATTCATATATTTAATATTTGATTTGTAATTAACCTATAACCAATAATTATATTTTCTTTGTAATTCACATGTAACCAATAAATATATTTTCTTCTTTTCTTCTCATCCTAACAGAAATCTTAAACTTAGAAATTATCAGTGATAAAAATCAACAATATAGTATGGCAACGTTGCAAACTCGATAACCGCATGTGTCAAGAACTGACAATTTTATGTATCACTTTATTTTAGGTTTTATGAAAGGAAATAATGAAAAGTTAGGTTAAATCGGTCAAAATATTGCATTTTATTATAATATAAATGAAAATAGCAAATTAAACGTATTCTTCCATATTTAATTTCAGTTAAAATATTATAAAAAGTAAGTTACTTCAATATATTAATGCTAAAATTATGAAATTCGCATCACAGGATCCTTTACCAGAACCACTCCCTATTCCTGAGATTCCGCATCTTTTACAAATTGTTTATTTATATAAATGTTTTATATTATAGAAATTTCGAGTTTGACACGAAACGCCAACTTCCAAATTACACTGTTGAAAATTGGTAACAAAAAATTGCTATAAAATTCTAACCTAATATTTTTTGACAGAAACATCATTCTGATTTTGGAAAAATTTTATTTGCAAATTCTAATTAAGATTTTAAGAAAAGCGCAATTATGAAACGAGATGCTGGAGGAACTGGATCCGGTGGAATTTGTTTAACTGCTCGGACTGACAAGCAAAAGAGCCGTGAGTCGGTTCTTGCAAATTTAGTAGTCTTTGCAGCATTAATTGGGGTTATAAGAGCAAGTAAGTATATTTAAAAAGTCTGGTTTATTGGTTAAATTTAGATTATTTGAAATGGATCTTAGTATAATTAATAATAATCTTTGTATAATTAATCTCCTTAGGAGTGAATTTTAACCCTAGAAGCCGAAAGGGATCACTTAATAGTATATCCAGTCTATTGGATTGAATAAAGAATAATATTACTGTTTACTAATATACTTTTTCTTTTTCAGTGCCCTACATCATTAATGCGATATAATTTGCCCAAAATAGATGGATTTTTATAATGTTAGGGGGTTTTTGTGATAACTTTTGTACAATTTACACTATTTGTAACTTGTGTGAAGTTAGCGCCCGGCGCTGGCGCCCAAACTCAGCGCTCTACCCCCTCCTCCTAACCAAGTTCACACAACTAAAATTAATTATTGCATTTATTTATAATGTTTCTAAATTTATAGGAAAGTAATGTTTATGATTCGATTTTTGATTAAACGGTGTGGTTTGTAAAGTTTCTATTAGAAAGAGGTATATTTCAAAATTTGCCGTATGACAGCGAATAATGGAAAAAAAGGTACCCTTTCAGATCTGAGTTTGTCACAAAATTATATGTCTAAAACCACTGGCGTCTTCTCAAAAAAACACCCTTTATAAAAAGAGGATTACTTAAAAAAAACAAGAGGAGTGACAGATTACGACGAGTAGATATATTAATTATTTCGTAAGGTCTCATGCAGTAAAAGTTTAAATATTTTAAACCCCTGGCGTCTTATAGAAAAACCACCCTTTATAAAAATATAAATTATTATTTTTTTTTTAAACTATGTCTCGTGACAGATTACGATTAGAGGATGTAAGAAGGTCCTTATAAGGTCACCTTACAGTAAAAAACTGAATGTCCTAAACCCCTGGCGTCTTATAGAAAAACCACCCTTTATAAAAATATAAATTATTTTTTTTTGTGAAAAACTATGTCTCGTGACAGATTACGATTAGTGGATGTGAGAAGGTCCTTATAAGGTCACCTTACAATAAAAAACTGAATGTCCTAAACCCCTGGCGTCTTATAGAAAAACCACCCTTTATAAAAATATGAATTATTTTTTTTTTGAAAAAACTATGTCTCGTGACAGATTACGATTAGTGGATGTAAGAAGAACCATATAATGACACTTCACAGAAAAAAACTGAATGTCCTAGACCCCTGGCGTCTTATCGAAAAACCACCCTTTATAAAAATATAAATTATTTTTTTTTTCTGAAAAACTATGTCTCGTGACAGATTACGATTAGTGGATGTAAGAAGGTCCTTATAAGGTCACCTTACAGTAAAAAACTGAATGTCCTAAACCCCTGGCGTCTTATAGAAAAACCACCCTTTATAAAAATATAAATTATTTTTTTTTTAAAAACTATGTCTCGTGACAGATTACGATTAGTGGATGTAAGAAGGTCCTTATAAGGTCACCTTTCAATAAAAAACTGAATGTCCTAAACCCCTGGCGTCTTATAGAAAAACCACCCTTTATAAAAATATAAATTATTTTTTTTTTGTGAAAAACTATGTCTCGTGACAGATTACGATTAGTGGATGTAAGATGGTCCTTATAAGGTCACCTTACAGTAAAAAACTGAATGTCCTAAACCCCTGGCGTCTTATAGAAAAACCACCCTTTATAAAAATATGATATATTTTTTTTTTGAAAAAACTATGTCTCGTGACAGATTACGATTAGTATATGTAAGAAGAACCATATAATGACACTTTACAGTAAAAAACTGAATGTCCTAAACCCCTGGCGTCTTATAGAAAAACCACCCTTTATAAAAATATAAATTATTTTTTTTTCTGAAAAACTATGTCTCGTGACAGATTACGATTAGTGGATGTAAGAAGGTCCTTATAAGGTCACCTTACAGTAAACAACTGAATGTCCTAAACCCCTGGCGTCTTATAGAAAAACCACCCTTTATAAAAATATAAATTATTTTTTTTTTTGTGAAAAACTATGTCTCGTGACAGATTACGATTAGTGGATG